TCTTGCAAGCAGTTCCTCAGAGACTCAGAAACAAGTAGCAAGGTGAAAAGAAGGGAGGTGCTCTGGCATGTGGCTTGGAAAATGCTTTGGGCCTGGCAAGGCTTTAAAACACAGTTGGGCCTGGTAAGGCTCCAGAAACATTGGGCCTGACAAGGCTCCAGAAACAAAGGGCCTGACAAGGCTCTGAAACATGTGTTTCTTGTGAGGCTCCAGAAGCACATTGGGCCTGACAAGGCTTCTGGGCCTGAGAAGGCTCCAGAAAAACTTGGGCCTGACAAGGCCTCGAAACACTTGAACCCTGACAAAACTCCTGGGCCTGACAAGGCTCCAGAAAAATGGGGGCCTGACAAGGCTCCAGAAACAGTTGGGGCCTGACAAGGCTTCTCAGCCTGACTTAAGACTCCAGAAACACTGGGGCCTGACAAGGCTCCTGGGCCTGAGAAGGGTCCAGAAAACACGTGGGGCCTGACAAGGCTCCTGGGCCTGACAAGGCTCTAGAAAATTTGGGGCCTGACAAGGCTCCAGAAAAACTTGGGTTTGACAGAAACACTTGGGGCCTGACAAGGCTCCACAACGCTCCAGAAATACTTGAGGCCTGACAAGGCTCCGGGGTGACAAGGCTCCTGGGCCTGAAAAGGCTCCAGAAACACGTGGGGCCTGACAAGGCTGCTGGGCCTGACAAGGCTTCAAAAACACTTGACACCTGACATGGCTTCAGCATCATTGGGCCTGACAAGGCTCCAGAAACACATTGGGCCTGACAAGGCTCCTGGGCCTGAGAAGGCCCAAGAAACACGTGGGGCCTGACAAGGCTGCTGGGCCTGACAAGGCTTCAAAAACACTTGACACCTGACATGGCTTCAGCATCATTGGGCCTGACAAGGCTCCAGAAACTTTGGGCCTGACAAGGCTCCAGAATCTTTGGGCTTAACAAGGCTCCAGAAAGGTTTGCTGCAGCTGTTTTCATGCCCAAAAGGAAGCTGCAGCAGGCAGCTAGAGGTGGCAGGCACCAAAGGGCACGTGCAGATGATGGTGAGCCTGAGCATGCTGCTGTTGCTCTGACTTCAATAGGTGGTTTGTCACCAGCTGCTTACAAGCTTTTGGAGCACTGGGCATGGGGCAGCTCAAGTGCTTGGGAAGTCTGTGAACTGGCCAGATCCATTACCAACACCTTTGAGCATGCGCCACCAGACTTGGAGAACTTGTCTAGCTGTGGGAGCTATGGTCACAACCCGAGCAAGACACAAAGAGACATGTTCAGATTGGCTTATTTGCAAGGTTTGAAAGCACCTGATCCATACACAGTCAATGCCTGTGTGGTTGTGAACCATGGCTCCAGGCCAGTTGTCGAGTCTGTTGACCTCGCCATATTCCTACCACATGATTGGGGGTCTGCCCTATCACAACATGGCCTCCTGGAGCAAACAGTGGGCACCATGGCTGACATCAAGAAGTTCTGGCACAGGGTGCAGCCTCAGGACCCTAAGCTTTACAAGAACCCTGTTCTCAAAGAACAGAAATGCATGTTCATGCCTTTTGTTGTGCATGCAGACAAAGGGCCTCATGCCAAACAAGACAGCCTGCACACCATTTCCATGTACAGCTTGGTTGCCTATGAGAAGCACCTGGGCCTGGAGCAGTCCTCTTTCATGCTGTGTGCGCTTGCAAACAGCTGCATGCTCACTGAAAAGAAGTGCAAAGAACTTGGTCTGGCATGTGAGCCCACCATGAACACGATTGGCAAGGTGCTGGCCTGGAGCTTCACAGCTTGGTTCCATGGGGTACACCCAGACCATGACCACTTGGGCAAGGCCTGGACTTGCCCAAAGAGGAGGGCTTTGGCTGGCACACCAATTTGTGGCAAGTCTGCCATGAGATGCATCATTTGGCAAGCGCCTGCCGACTGTGAACACAATTCTCTTGAATATGGCTTGCCAAGCTACAGCTCCAATAGCCCTTGCATGAGATGCAAATGCAACAGGTCCACTGTTCCTTGGAATGATTTCACACCTTCAGCCCTGTGGAGATCTACATGTTACACACCAGCTGAAGCCTATGAAACCCCATTGACAAAGCACTGGCTGTTGACAATCCCTGGTGTCAACCACTGGACATTTGCATATGATTTCATGCATTGCGCTGATATCGGTTTCTCCTCTTCCGCTGTGGCAAATATGCTGTACGATTTGGTGTTTAAACATTTAGAAGGCAGCAAGCCCCAAAAGGTTGCTGCTGTCATGGAACTCATTAACCAGGCCTACCAGAGCTTGGGCATCACCGATGGGAAAATTCTGAGGTTGTCTTTGTCTTCATTTGCAGATGCTCAAGCACCTCACCAGCATTACCCTGCCTTGATGCACTCAGCCATCAAAGCCAAGCAGACTGCCAGGCTTGTTCAAGTCTGTGCAAAGCTGGCCAAGGACTACAATGATGGCTCTGTATACTGCGAACACAGGCTTCATTGCTTTCAGAACTTGGCCAAGCTATACACCATATGTGACCAAGCAGGCCTTTTCTTTACAAGGGATGAGCATGGTGCTTATTCCAAGGCGAGCGCAAGGTTTCTGCAACACTACTCAGCCTTGAGCAAGTTGAGTTTCAATCACACTACATCTAGGGTTGGGCAGTTTCAGTGGTCTGAGACACCAAAGCTGCATTTCCAGGAGCACATTGCAAGTGACAGCAAGTTCTTGAACCCAGCCTCAGTTTGGTGCTACCCAGGAGAACACTTGGTTGGCTCTGCTACAAAGCTAGCATCTGCTTGCTTAGCTGGACTGCCACCATGGCAGGTCTCCAGCACCATTTGTAGGAAGTACCAGCTGGGTAAGCATTTGCAGTTCCTGCAAATGGATTGAAGTCATGCTCTGTGCCAGAAAATGGGCAGTCTGCAAGAGTTTGGCAAAAGCAGTGGTGCATTGCGCCTTGTCCTCCAGCATTTGGGCCTGCTAAGGCTCCCTTGGGCCTGCAAAGGCTCCAGCCCTTGGCTTGCTGAGGCTCCAGCGCTTGACCCTCCTGAGGCTCCAGCATTTGGGCCTGCCAAGGCTCCAACACCTGGGCCTGCTAAGGCTCCAAAACTTGGGCCTGCTAAGGCTCCAGCTCTTGCGCTTAGCTTCCCAAAGCTCCAGCCCTTGGGCCTGCTAAGGCTCCAGAAACACATTGGGCCTGTCAAGGCTCCCTTGCGGTTTGCAAGCTTAAAGCCCTTGTTAAATTTTATACAAGAAAATCAAGGTTTTAGCCAGGCCTGGGCATGAAGCTTGTTGATTTTTTGTTGAATTGTGTATTGATGATTGATCGAAAATCAATAACACCTTATTGATTTTTCCATCCAATTATTGATGTTGATTTTTTGGTTGATTTTTTTCAATATCGGACCCTCTGGGTGCTGGCGTGTCTTACGTGTCTGCGACTGGCCTCAGGCCCAGCCCACTCAGGCCCAAGTGTGTATGAAACAGGCCTTGCCCATCCAGCAACCCGCCCAAGCACAGCTCAGCCCAGCCCGTAGTCCGGCTGCCCGGCAGCCAGCAACCCACCCTGCCCAGCCCCACCAGCAGGCTCCCAGTCAGGCCTCAGGCTAACACGTGTCTGAGACTGGTCTCAAGCTATGCAAGCTACTAAGCCTGTCTGATGTGCCCCAGCCCCTCAGTCCGGCTGCCCAAGCAGCTCAGCCCAGGCTGGCCAGGCCTTCTGCTCGCGTCTGGCCCCAAGTCATCCACCACCCCACCCCCTTCAGCGCAGTCTGAGACTGGTCCAGACTAGCCTCAGGCCCAGTCCCTCAGCCCGCCTGCTGGCGTGTCTTACGTGTCTGCGACTGGCCCAGCCAGTAACTCGCCACCCAGCCTCAGGCCCAAGTGTGTATGAAACAGGCCTTGCCCATCCAGCAACCCGCCCAAGCACAGCTCAGCCCAGCCCGCCCAGCCCAAGTTCCAGGCGCAACCAGCAGCGTAGTCCGGCTGCCCGGCAGCCAGCAACCCACCCATGGCTTCGCAGCCTCGTGGCTGAGACTAGCTTCAGGCCCAGCCCAACCAGCAACCCACCTCAGCCCAGCCCAGCCGAGGCCCCGGCGCAGGCCCAGTCCCTCAGCCCGCCTGCTGGCGTGTCTATTGGGGATATTTTTCCGGGGTACTTAAGCAAATGGAGGTTTGTATTCCCACCATGTACCTGTCTTGGGGTGAGCAACCGAGCAAGAAATGTATGTCATGGCAAGCCGCCAGCCACGTGAAATGGAGAAACACCCAAAATTGGTCTTGGTTGTTCAGTGACACCAACTATTGTTCCCCTTTTTATGGAGGCCAAGCCCCACTAAAAATGCTCATCCCCAGAAAGAGGTCCTTTTTTTTTCCAAGGGCACTGAGCAGCTGAGATAGTCTTGGTTTTGGATAACCTTCCGAGCAGGACGGCTTCCGAACATCGAACTAGCACGGGCGAACTGGTGCGGTCACAAGCTTTCAGTAGGATTCGGACCTTCCCAACACTGGATTTCGGTGTTTCTGACCCTTCCCTCAAACTAGGCTGGGCCGAGGCGGGCAACGCGAAGCGTTTACAATTAAAAGGGTACTTGGATGCTTAACCAACTTAGCAAGTTAATCAACCCCAGTGTATTAATCCGGGGGGCCGGGTGTCCTGGGTAAAACGAGGAATCAGACCGCTTTTGGAGGGACCAAAACCACCCCCTATTGATAAACTGGTTTTATGTGGTCAATAGTATAACAAAGTGGCTGGCCATCCTGGTCGCAACCCCCCTGTAGGGTACTTGGATCTGCAACCAACTTACTACGTAGACTACATTCATGGTTCTAAGTGGGGTAACTAGGGTTGGTTCCCTTTGTCCCCATGCCAGGTCCTCCAGTAGAGAGGTTAGAGCAAGGGAGCCAAAATTTTCAGGACGTCTATTTTAGTAGGGGAACCCTCCCAACCCAAAAAGGGTGACAAAGGGGTGACCTAGCTGGGGGAAGCCATGGCTTCAACCTTCCCTCTGCTTCAACCCCAAAGCCAGCGCCCGCCTCTTTCTCCGCCCGGCGCTGCGCAGCCTGCAGCGCCTCCTCCTTCCTAAGGCAAACCCGCCGTGCGTTTCAGATGGCCGGGGACGAGAGTCGCGTGGGTTTTGCGACCTCCGGCACCCCAGGGGAAAGGAGAGGAAAAAACCATCGGTTTTCGAAGAGAAGTTTGAGGGTCATGGAGACTTCAGGGATGATTGAACAGAATGGGGAATTACCCCATACTTGAATGGGCTGGGAGTTAGCTAAGCAGTTAGAAACCCGAGTTGTACCCATTTAGCATGGTAAAGCCCAAAGTCCGCGAGAAAACCAGGATTAACCATTTAGCGATTCGTCCCAGAACATCTAAGCAGATGCAGGGTCTGTGTCATTATGTGTCTTCAAATTAGGGGGCGCACACACACACACACACATGGTGGCTTTCCTTTTGGTTTGGACCCTTAACACCACCACCCTTGTAGGGGTTACAAATCTTTATGGGTTAAAGAGGGGATGCTTCACTTAAAATGGGAAATTCTCAGTGGGTGGACGTACCCCTTCACCAGCGATGGATGACAGCCTATGAGTACGGGGATGAACCACATACCCAACTGGAAGTTGTCCATCCACAGTATGGGCTTTGCCCCCATGCCGCTTTCCTTTTGGTTTTCCTTCACACCTACACATTCCGACATTTCAGTTGGCAAACCCTTCAACTGGCAACATGAAGCTGCTGCTTGTGTGCTCCGGGATATCTATTCGGCCTCGCACAGTTCTGATTTGGACCCCCATGAGTCTCCTTCTGCGAAGATCAACCGGCAACCATCTTGGCGCACGGATCCAGTTCAGGAATCCACTGGGTCAACGAGATATTTTCTGTGATTCGCGCACCGGACCCGAAGCCCCTCTGCTCGGTCGCTTTCTGCTCCGCTAAAAGTTCAACTTTTAGCGGTTTGATGGAAAACCCATTCGTTGGCAAAAAGTTTAAAGTCCTAACATCCAAGCAGCATGCACCAAAGCTTGGTTGGTATCACAAGGGAACCCGCAAGGAAACCAACTATTTAGGGAACCATTATCTTGACTTGGTCCTCCAGTAGAGAGGTTAGAATACGGGTACCCTTTTGTGTGTAGTCTATTTTAATAGGGGAACCCTCCCCCAAAAAAGGGTAACAGGGCACTACTGGGGGACCTAGTTAGGGAACCATTCTCATCTTAAGCACCCCTCTTGCTTACCCCCTTTGCCCATTCCTACCCAATTTGCTGTTCAGGGTAAGGCCCAATTCGCAAGTAGGTATTGTAGACCCAACAGTAATCACCCCAGTTTATCAATAGGGTGTTCCTGGGTTTAGTGGGGAATCAGACCACCCACTCCCCCTATTGATAAACTGGTTGCTTGATTAATACTGCGGAGGGACGAAATCCTACACCACCTAAGAAATTATGGAATGACGATTCCCCTGTAAACACCAACAAACGTTATGGTTTCAACCATGGCATTAATGTGGTGCGAACGGATTTCGCAACCATCCACACGCTGATTCCCATCCAAAAGAGATGAGTCCAAACTGAACCCAGGGACACCCTATTGATAAAGATATGGAGTCAACATTTAGCCATGGGCCATGGGTCAAAATCCCATACCCCCAGTGAACATCCCCCACTAAAATAGACTAAAACCATATGTGCCCTTTGTGGTGTTTTCAGAATCACCTTTTGGGATCATTCACTTTCTTTTAAGGAGTGGGAATTGAATCGGATGTTCAATGGGCGTACGGGTTTTTGACCCATGGACATTTGGGGTCAGAATTTAGTTTTAAGCCCCTTCCATTTGGTTCAGACCCCCCGGAAAAATAAACATATATTCCAGTAGTGAAAAAAACCTTTTTAAACCAACATGGGAAAACAACACATATTCTTAAGCAAATGGAAGTACCTGTTCAGCTCCACCCGAAATCTGCTGTCCGAGCTTCTCCCTCAGCTTGGCGGCTGCGGCCGCTTCCGCCTCAACGACCGGCCCGGGTTAAACGCGCCGCGTTCCACGGTTCGCTCGGAGGCGGGAGGCGGGCATGTCAGGGTGCCTGGAGTCTCCTTCTGACCCTTAAAAAATGAGGTCATTACCCAAAATAATGGGGTCATGGAGACTCCAGGTGCTTCCAGGCGTTTCGCTATAGAAGGTAACCTCCATGGAAAAACCTAGAGGTAAGGAAGCCGAAGAGTTACCTACTATAGCGGCGAAACGCCTGGAAGCACTGGGTCAAGTGGCTGGTAACCCCGCTTACAAACTGACCCCAAGTCCCCGTGTGGGTTTAGGGATACTAACCACTAAAAAAAGAGTGCCTCCTGAAGTCGACCCCTTTTCGGATGGTCACCGCGCAACAACTAGGTCCTCCAGTAGAGAGGTTGAAATAAGTTGGTACCAACTTTTTTCTGTAGTCTATTTTAGTGGGGAACCCTCCCCCCAGAAAAGCTACTGGGAGACCTAGACAAGAAGGGGAAAAACTACCATCTGGCATAAGGATCGCCACATTTTGAAGGACCAAGTGAATTGCCCCACTTCTAAGCGGTAGCCCGCCAACCGGGGGAAATTGCAGGTACCGCCCAGCAAGGATACCCTCTACTCAGCTCTGCTCAGTTCCCGGCTATTGGCTCTACGATACGAACGGCTTGCGATACGAGATGTCTCGCTGGAGACATGCATCTGAAAGTGCCCTTCAAAACCCGCCGCACCATTCCTTTTCGCCGTAGTTCGCAGTTTCTAGTTTGGTCTCCTTTTGTTTGGGCTCAAAGGGTTGCGTGAAACATGCGATTTCCGAAGGTACCAGGGTTTGAACAACCTTTAACTTGCTGGTTGACGCGGGACCTAATGAAGAAAGTCGAAGGTCCAATCCGGTGGATTCGCTTGCATTGACCCCCTTTTTTTGAAGCGGAAAACACACATGGGCTCTGAAGAAATCTATTTATCTGTCTAGAAAACAAAGGGAGCCAGCCTTTACAACCAAACACAAAAACATACTATAGTGCCATTTGGAATCCTGAGGCTTTGTCTCAACCAACTCTGCACTCGCTTATGAGTCTACATTTCGCTTGGAACTGCCTTGGCTGTGAGGGCGCCAAACCAAAGTAGGGCTCAAAATTTACCAAGGGAACCAGCCTTTAAAAGCCAAAAGGAACATGGCTTGTCACCTATAGTGCTATGTAGAATCCTGAAAATGGAAGGCCAACGTTGGCCGTGGAGGGAAAAGACGGGCTTCAAAATCTTCAAAGTCGCATCTAAAGAGGGTTCCCCCCCACCCATCAGGAAAGATTCTGATGGCACCTGCCTACAAGCGAGAACGAGATAAACAAGCTGGCTCTTTCAAACACATTTCCTGGTGCGTTTGTCTCAAACTTGGGGCAAAAGAAGTTCGAAGAGTCAATTTGCCTCAAACAAACAAGCCCCAGAAGTATTCCCAGCACTGGAACCTGTTTTGAGCCTCCCCGTGCAGTCCCAAAGTCAGGATTGGCTAAGACCCCACAGCTGTTGGGTAAAATGGAAACGTACCTAGAGTCTCCATGACCCTTAAAAAATGGTTGGTAATTACCTAAAATAATGGTTGGTCATTGACCCATTTTTAAAGGGTCAGAAGGAGACTCCAGGTACTGCTTGTTGTACATAGGTCCTCCAGTACCCTAAATAACGGTTGGTCATTGACCCATTTTTATTTCGGGTCAGAAGGAGACTCCAGGTAGAAACAAACCACCGAAAACGTCTTAGATGTTCTGGGACCAGAGTCTGAGTCCCTTTGCAGGTTCTGTGTGTGTAACCGACTTAGCAGGTCACAACCTTGGGCTGTCCCATGGACGAACCGCTAAATGGCTGATAATCGTGGTGGTAGGGGACTTACAACCACGGTACATGGGTTACAAGCCGCTTGGCTAAGTCCCAGGCCATCTAAGTAATGTTGACCCTGGATTCATACACCTGTCCTATTGATAGATGCCCCTCCAAAAGTAGAGGATACTCACTACCAGGAAGCACCCCATATAAACCAAGCGCGGGTTTATTCGTCCTGGGTTCCCAGTATGGTGGCAAAAACTGTGTTTTTCTTTCCACCCAACCAGGAATGGCCAGAAACAACAAACACACCCGTTTCCAGGCAAACCGCCAGGGAGGTACTGCTTTGGTATGGCTAGTGATGTGGCCAAAAAGCCTGGAAGCACTGGGTTGCCAACAAGCGCGGTGCCCCCTCCCGCCCCACTTCCTCCTCTACCCAACCCCTCCCCCAACCCCCGTGTTCGGGTTCCTTCCATTCAGCTGCCTCTAACTGGTCATGAGCCTTCCAGCTAAGGTTGACCCCGGATTAATAAACTCTTGTTTTTTTTCTCCGGGGAAGCTTTTCCCTGTCTTTAGTAGGAATCAGACCACTTTTGGAGGGGAACACCCCCCTATTCATAAACAGGGGTTGATTAATACGCCGTCCTCAGAACCATGTACGGATTTAAAAAGGCAGTAAAGGCCTATTTATGGTTGGGATTCTCTTTTAATCTTCATCTATCCGAATCGATGTTCCGCAAGTGGCTGACATGGATTCGGTTTCTTTACTGTCAGCTCACATTCAACTCCCTCTCGGTGGAAGTTCTTCCTATAAGACCACCAAGCTACTGTGGATGTTGACCAAAAACAGCTTCGCGCCACGAAACGAATTACCATGGTTGAAACCATAACGTTGCTTTTTTTTGGTTTTTTCTCCGGTATCTACAGGAGGAGCAACATGAATCCGGGGTCAACAGCTACCAGCGATCGAGCGGTCCGCTCCGTGTCGAGCGGCCCGCCTCCTCCTTGGCCTTGGCCATGGCAGCCGCCATGGCCTCCTCAGGCATCGCCTCCGCCGCCTGGGCCCAAAAAAGGCCCAAGGGACCTGGAGTCTCCTTCTGACCAACAGGGCTCTCCAACCCATCTGGAGTCTCCGGATCCGACCCGAAAAAAGATTTAAAAAAACATCCGCGTTGGTGTGTGTTTAAAGGGAAGCAACCGGGAAACCAACCAGAAAACCAACCAGGAAACCAACCATTTTGGGCCTTTTCTTTTGGAAGGCCACTACCTGGAGTCTCCTTCTGACCCGAAATAAAAATGGGTCAATGACCAACCATTATTTTAGGTAATGACCAAGCATTTGTTAAGGGTCAGAAGGAGACTCTAGGCAGAGTCACCCCAAAAAACGACCCGGAAAACATCCTTGAATTTTGCTTGTATTAGAGGGTGTCTAACATTTTTACCGGAAATTAGACTTCCATTTTGATGCAGCTCCTATTTGCCAAGGAATTGCGTATTTAAGTTATATTTGACCATAAAACACTTTGTGGAAAACCATGTCCTTGCTAAATTATATTCAAAATTCCAACTAGTTGAAGTAGAATCCTATTTGAACATATTGTCATGGGACATTTCGGACTCCGGGCTCCAAGATATGAGGCTTTAGGGCCCAAAATTGGACATGGCGAGAATATAAATCTCTAGATTCTAGATGTATCACTAAAAGGCACCCAAACCAGGGTCCTTGAAAGGGGGCTTGCACATGTATATATATATATATATATGACCTGGAGTCTCCTTCTGACCGTTTAAAAAATGGGCCAATGCCCCCATGAGGAGACTCCAGGTAGGTTGACCTTGTGGAATTATGAGTAAAAATGGGAACCCACATTGAAAAAGCTAAAGGTCAGATCCGGTCAATTCGCTTGAGCCCCAAACAAGTCACTAGGCTGGAATGGCTGATCAGTGGCCCCTATGAGCCCTTCCCAATGGTTTACACTTTTTTTCAGGGGGCCAAAGCCTGGGTTCCTTCCCACATTCCCCACTCAGCAGCAGCAAGAAAAAACGGAGATCTTCTTTTCGCACATGGGTCTCACATTTTTGGGAACATCCAATGCGGAAACTCCAACATCGAACAACACGGTTCGGGCTTGTACCGGCAGCCACATCATCAAAACCGATCGGTATTAACCTTGTCTATTTTTTCTGTAGTCATTTTAGTAGGGAACCCTCCCCCAAAAAAGGGTAAAAGGGCGCTACTGGGGGACAAAGTTGTCCAATGTCGACCCCTGATTAATCAACCGCCGTTTATTGATATGGGGGGTGTCCCTGGGTTTAGTGGAGAATCATCACTTTTGGAGGGGAACACCCCCTAGTACTAAACTGGGGTTGATTAATAGGGGGTCCTTAGAACCATGTACGGAAGGCAGGAAAGGCACCCATTTTTATGGTTGGGATCTTCATCTATCCGAATCGGTTTTCAGCAAGTGGCTGACATGGATTCGGATTCTTTACTGTCAGCTCACATTCAACTCCCTCTCGGTGGAAGTTTTTCCCATAAGAGCACCAGGATACTGTGGATGTTGACAAAATCAATTTCGCACCACAAAGTAAATTACCATGGTTGAACACATAAAGTTTCTTAAACAAAAAGAGTATCTACAGGAGAACCATAAACCAGGGTTTCTGAACGGTGGTGCGACACGGATTTCGCAACATCCGACGCCTGGAAGTCGAACGGCAACTCTTCCCACCCCTGTACTCTGCCAACCAGTCAAAATCAAGACCGATCGGTATTAAAATGGTCGGGACCCACAACCTTGTTGACCCCAGATTCATCAACCAACCAGTCTGTTCATAGGGGCGTGATTTTGGTCCCTCTGATTCCCCACTAAACTCGGGGAGAAGCCTATTAATGAACTGAATAAATAATACGGGGTTAACATTTGGAAAAACAAACTCACTGTCTTGTTGCGGCCCACTAGAAATGAACAGAACCAAAACATCAGTAAAGTCCAAACCAACTAAGAACCATCAAGACAATGTTGAGAACGGGCGCTTCCCGCTTCCCGCTTCCCGTGCTCCCCCTAGAAAGCTACATGATCAAAACTGGGGTGAAATTGAACTGCGGACCCGAAATGGAGGACATCAATTAGGTAGGCATGTATGTCCAACCTCGTTTTCAAATTCATAGCCAAACCAAGCAGGGCTTATGTTTCATAAGTAGGGCTACAGTAGGGCGCAGGTATACATGGTACCTCCCTTTGCGACGAGGGATGTAGAACAAACACTATATAATGCCATGGTCAATAGTGTCCTCGACGAGCCTGCCTAAATTGATTTTTACCATTGTAGCCCATGTCGCTCCCTTGTCTACATTGGATGACGGTAAACATGTGGGCAAAGGTACTTCGCAGTAAAACTTTTGGTGAGCTTGTGTTGCCCCAGGTGAGCTTGATTCAATTATACACAAACACATTGCCTTCCCTGCTGCTGATATCTACTAGGCAATGGATTGCTCATCAGCTGGGTTCTCATGAAGAGACTTACCAAACGAAGCACCTCCCTGTGAGGCGTCTCGAAATGTGTACTGTTCCTGGCCGGGTTGATTCAGGGTAAAGTCCTCCAGTAGAGAGGTTAGAATAAGGGTACCCTTTTTCTGTATTTGAGTAGGGAAACCCTCCCCCAAAAAACGGTAAAAGGGCACTACTGAGAGACCTACAGGGGGTGATGTTTTCTTTGTGAAGCAAAGGACAACTCAAAACGGCACGCATTGCAAGCGAAAAATCCTTCCTAATCGATCAGGATAGGGGATCCCCCATTGGCCCCATGGCGGTGGTTTTCCCTCTGGCTTTCAAAACAAAAACAGGGCCCCCAAAAAACTCCCCCCAAATGGTTCTCCCGTTGGTTTCTCTGGACAAACAAAACAAAAATGGGCCCCCTGTTTTTCTCCCCAAAAACGGTTTTCTCCCGTTGGTTTCTCTGGACAAACAAAACACACAGGGTACCTGGAGTCTCCATGACCCCTAAAACATGGGGCCATTACCCAAAATAATGGGGTCATTGACCCATGTTTAAAGGGTCAGAGGAAGACTCCAGGTACCAAAAAGGAGATTTCCAAAAGCCGAGGGAGGCTTCTAGAAACACGACCGACCCAGTTCTGGCCACCAAATGGCCTCTGAAAGAATCTTCTCCTGCTTCGCCCTGAGCTCCTCCTCCATCCTGGCCTGCCGGGGATTTTGGTTTCCCCGGGTCGTTGGACCCTCTGAAGCCTTGACACAGGCGAGCCACAGCAAATAACCAGTGCTTCTTACCTCTAGCTTTAGGTCGTTGATAAGATAACCTATAGGTCCTTCAGTAGAGAGGTTAGAATAAGTTGGTACCAACTTTTTCCAGGACGTCTGTTTTAGTAGGGGAACCCTCCCGCAAAAAAGGGTAAAAGGGCACTACTGGGGGACCTAGATGGCAAATAACAGTGTTTCTGTCCTCTAGCTTAGTTTTACTTTTCATCATTTCCTTAGTTGCCTGCCCAAAAGGCTAACTGGACAGCTCAAGCGCTTTGGGCCTAGAAATGCTTGCCAAGCGAAACTTCAGCTGTCCTTCCCATGCGCATGCGAGAGTTTGCCATTGCCCGTTTGGCAACGATATGTGTTGCCGCCAAACCTCGCCATTTTATTGCGCCATGGTCATGGCTGCCCTGACGAGAACTCCAACACTACTGGAGGCCCATGATGATCACCTCGAGTAAGCGTGGGGCATGTTCGACCAACTCCGCAAGTAGGCTATAAGGTGGGTGGCAACTGGGACTAGTCCTCTTAGAACCATGATAAGCTACTTGGCATCTTGGCCGAACATCCAGGACCCAACAAGGCGACCCCCTAAACTAGCTAGTCCTCGGTTGGTTCCCCCCGAAGACAACGCCCAAGGCTACCTAGGTCCTCCACTGGAGCGCTTAGAATAAGGACACCCTTTTTTCTGTAGTCTATTTTAGTACAAAAACCCCTCCCAGCCAAAAAAGAAACGGTGAGAGGTCGGGCAGCTGGGGGGACCCAAGCGTACGGGTCCAACAAAAGCCCTCACGAAGGACTCGCCTTGAAGGCCTCCAACTCCCGCGCCATCTGCCGCTCCTGCTCCTGTCAAACAAAGAGAGAGCGGCGCAATGGGCGGGGTACTCGGAGTCTCCATGATTAGCCAAAATAATGGGGTCATTTTCTCATTTTTAAGGGTCATGGAGACTCCAGGTATATATGTAGATGGCACCCTTGGATCTGTCGTTGTGTTTGCGGGTATTCTTTTTGGGTTGATTTAAGCCCCCTGTTTGGGTCCCCTATTTGTGGGTACCCTGTCTTGGATTGGTTTAAAGGGGAAGCCAAAGGGAAACCCATGATTTGGGTTTCCCAAGAAAACAAGAACAAAAAAACGCTCATGCTCACCTATTCCCAACTGGGTGACTCGTCCTGATTTGTTGGCTGCTGTTTCACAGCTCTAGCCCAGTTCCGGTATAGGCCATAACGGGCGGTCTCAAATTCCAGGGCGACCTGTTCCTCTTTCGGGAGGTTCTCGTCGTAAACGTCCCTGACCTTCGTCACATTCCCAATTCGGTGAGGTCTCATCATGTCGCGGCAAGCTGTCGGGACCCACTGCTTGTAATACAGCTTGCACTCCTTGTCTTTCTTCGCCATGAACGATTCGAGCACTGGGGTCCCGACAACGCCCTTCTGAGTTTCCTCCCGATACTTCTTGATGCTGTCTTGGGCGCCCCAAAATGGCGGCTTTCCTTTTGCCTTCCCTTTGAAACTACCCGAAACAGGGTTCTGTGGAACAACAACACCCAAGCAAAAAGCCGCAAACAACACCCAAGCAAAAAGCCGCAAACTGGGTTTGTGCTTAGATTTCCGCAGGGTGAAGGTGGATGACTAAACCAAACTGGACAAATGCGTCATCTGCTTTTACCCGCCTATAAATGCCACCCTTTCTTGCAAGGGTGGAAAGATCAACAGCAAACAATCAACAATTCCTGGACCCCAAAGACTCCTTTGTTCTGCCTTTGACACAAAGGGTTCCAAGTACGCATCTAAGCTGGGGAAGGGACTTGCCTTGGTTCTGATAGAATTTGCGCCTCAAACATCTCAAGCTTGGGGTCCTCTTTTGGATCTTGGAGGATACATGTACCGTAAGGGTTCTGATAACCCTTAGAGCCTTAGGGCGCCCACTTTGCGGACAGAAGGACACCCCAAAGCGCACCGCTGGAGATCGGCAAGCGGCTTGCATTGGTCAAATCTGCCACTCCCAATGGGTGCAACAAACATCCAACTCGCTTCTCAGACATGGTAGCCACAGGAAAAACATGTTTTCCTGTGTGGCACTTTATTTTAAAGGGCCTGCCCAGCCAGCAAGGTCATTGTTGTTGTACACAGAGCGCTCAGTGTCCGTAAGAAACCCAGAGCTTCAGGTACAAACTTTGTTGAAGGGCGTAGAATCCAGCTTGACCAACATCTACTGAAGGACCTAGAATGAGGATACCCTTTTTTCTGCAGTCTATTTTAGTAGGGGAGCCCTCCCCCAAAAAAGAGCAAAAGGGCACCTAGCTGCGGAACCTAGATGATGTGTCCGGACCGATCTTTGTGCTCCTCTTTAGCGGTATCCTCATGGCATCAGCACTCCCAGCTGAAATTCGTTGCAAATGCCACATCACTCGCCGGCAAATCACGGAGCTCCTTTTCGCGCGCACAGCTTTAGTAATCCGTTTATCCACTTCTCGCTTGGTTGCTTCGAAGACTTCCTGGCTTGGCTTGCCGAACGCATCAAGCTTGTACTGTTCCGAAACTGCACCAGCCCTCTTCTCATAATCATGATTCAACACCAACGTCTTGAACGAAAGCGCCCCACGAGGGAAACCACGCTTGGATGACGCCCATTTTGTTGTTTGACGAAAACGGGTCCGTCAATAACTTGCTGCGTCTGGCATAATGGGTCTGAACCAAAAAGAATGGGATTGGACACCCCGCCTCTATTGAGAACTGGGGTGGTTGTTCTGGGGTCAACATATCCAGACAGTCCATGTAGGTAACAGACCAACATTTGACCCAATTGGAGAGTAAATGTGGGTCGATAGTAATGTATTACCTACATAGATTGTCTGGGATGATTGAACTTTCGAACCCTTGGTATGGTAGCAAACAACTGACTGTTTTTTGCAGCCCCCCTACTAAACATGAACAGAACCCAAAACCCTGAGACAGACCAACAATCGTTGAATCTAAAGCCCGTGTGTTGACTGGGAGCGACTAAACTTGGGTGGCTGTGGGGCTCCAACACGCCAACACAAAAGTAAACATGCCAACAACAGTAAAGTGAACTGGGGGTGTGCCAACTCGACTCCCACCTGCGCCCGAAGGGCAATGGCAACTGCCTGCTCCTGACGCGATCGCAGGTCGTTCGTCGTTTTAGGTTGTTTTTCCCCGAAGCCCCGCGAACTCGGTCCCGAAATCGGGGCTTTCTGGGTCAACTTGTCTCAAAGTGGCTAAATATACCATCTGGAGGATTTTTGAGGGTAATTGTGCTTGTAAGGGGGTCTCCTTTGTGGGGAAGGACAACAAAAAGAGTGGGACGTTAACTTGCAGGAGAGCAACAGTGGAAGCCATAAATATTGCAAGTGCCACCAAGGCACATGTTGACACCATTTCTGTGGCATCGCCCGCTGCGTGCGGACCCCTCTCCCCCAGTTACAATGTTGAAGCCAAGTGCGTAACCCGTCTTCCGAGGCCAAATATATTGCAAGTTCAACATTGTATCAGGGGAAGGGGGACCACAAATATCATGTCACAGTGCTTCCCTTAGTGGACCGTGCCCTTTGGTTTTCTGCTCCGCACTTGCAATATTTAGGGCATCAACCGAATCACCTTTGTGGTGTCATCTCATCCCTCTACAGATGATGAACATTGAAGGCGGCTCAGCGCTGCAGCAAAGCGAGCTGCGGAGACCTTCGAAATCCGCCACAAATGACCCAAATCTGGATGATTTTCAAACATAATGGTATCCCGAAGATCTTTGGTTTCCTGAGGTTCCCTTCTGCCAACCTAAAAATGGGGGGGGTCCAAATCCCATTTTGCAAGAAATTTCTCATGTGCCTCATTTGCGAACTTCACCGCCGCCAGTGCCTTGGCCTTGGCCCGTGGCACCACCCACTGGTCAAACTCATCGGCCATGTTTGGCCTGGGCTCTAAAGATCGGCACCTCCTCGAACTCTTCCTGAATGTTCGTTTTCGCATGTGTTTTTTGTTTTTTCCTGGTGAAATGCTTGCTTCCCCCTTTTTCGTGGTGTGTTTGCGTGGAAGAGTTGCGCACTTTTCGGTTTTCGGAACACCTTGCGCGAACAAAATGCGGCACGTGTTCGGATGAAGCACCTCGAACTCTTCTTCGACCAGCTCTTCCTGCGCCACTGTGGCTGCCTCCGCCTTGCGCAAGCCGCTTGCGCTTGCGCAAGCCGCACCAGCGTGCTGACCTCTTCCGCGGTAAGCGACCGCTTTGCCATACATATATATATATTAAAATCAATATGTATATATATATATATATGTAATATACCCTTGACAACCATAGAAAAAAAAAGACACAAACACCCAGCTGTCGTCTCCAATGACACTGCAGTATGGGGTGCTTTCCGCGAGTCGGGGATAGATAGAACAAAGATGACTACGGCTACTTATCACTTTCAACAGGAATTCCGAATCGCAATCACATAAAGTTGCAACCATTCCAACCAGATTTGCTGGAACCCATAAACCGAACGGGTTCGCGACACACATCAATCGATAACAAAAACATAGCACTGGTTGCCGAGCCTCAACTCAGTTGCCCAAAGGACCAATAAATGAAAGGTAACCTTTTGGCACCTACACGAAACATAGGCGCCCAACATGAGAAGAACAAAAAGGTCAACTGAGGTCGATTCGCTTCGGACCAGTGACAGCCTCCAACAAAAGCATCCACCCACACAAAAAGCAACACAGCGTTGAACACAGGCGTATCATATTTTAAGGGCTTCCCACGCCACAACAAAACCAGGCAACCTTTTTTCGTCCCCCCAACAAGAATAAGTAAGTAAATAAAAATAAATAAAAACAAAGGAGACAAACAAAAAACATGCATCGGTTTTCCTTTTTGTTCTCCTTGAACCACCACTTTGAACACAGGAGCACCAAAACCAAAAAAACAAACCGCCCAACAACAACAAAAACGCGTCCCCCAAAAAAACACAACAACAACAAACAACAAACAAACACACAAAATCGCCCACCCCCCCACACGCCAAAACCCGAAAACCGCCGGAGGAGTTTTTGTCGCCGTGTCGCCCGACGCATCCGGTCCTCGGCTTCCTGCTGCGCCTGGAGCTCCTTGGCCTTGCGCTGCGCCATGAGCTCCATGGCCGCCTGCGCCTGCGCTATCCGTAGAGGTGACCCGCGAGCCCGCCCTGTTTTGACGGTTCAAATACACAGATAACAACAAAAAATGGGGGTTCCATTTGTGGGATCCCAAACAAACCAAACAGGTTCACGGATGTTTTAGGGGTTGATTCCGGTTTCATTCTGTTCAACCATCGTTCTTTCAACAATTAGCTGTTCCCCAGGGCTTTTCTGAACCCAGGGATCCGTCTTTCTAGAAAACGTCCGGAAACCCAGGGAAACAGAACAATACATTCCCTCAAATTGGGGGAACCTATTTTTCAGGCTTTCGGGGTTTGGCAACGAACGGCTTCGTGGGTTAGCTTTGCCCCAGTTGTAGCCCATGAGCCGTGGTGTGTGGGGTAACTGGGGGTTAGTCCCCTCTTAACCATGGTTGGGCATCCAAGTGGGTCCAATGGAAAATCCACGGTTTCAACCAAAAGGTTAAAGTCCAAAGATCCAACCAAATAGGTCCTCCAGTAGAGAGGTTAGAATCAGGGTGCCAACCTTTCTCAGGACGTCTATTTCAATAAAGGTTTAACCCTCCCAAACGAAAAAGAAACCGTAACAGGGCACTACTGGGGGACCTAGGGTTCTATCCACTTTGAGCATGCTCATTTCAAACTCGGAAAGAAAAACACGGCTTGCAATTGCAATTAACGGCTTGCAACAAAAACTCAGGCAAATTGAAGAACATTTGTGGGAATGGTTGGGCAAGAAATGAGTTTCAGCTCTGCCACATCCGCGCCTCCGCCTCCTTTCGCTCGGCCTCCGCCTGCGCCTCCAGCAGACGGGCCTCAGCGCGGAAGGTCCCGGCAGGGGGCGACGGATTTTCCAGCGAAGTTCAGGGTAAGTGCCTCCTTCAGTTTCCGCAAAAACGGGAAGTGGGTGCCGGGGCATGACATCAAAGAATTCACGTACCGTGGATGGACAAAATCCTGCACCGGTTGGGATGGATGTAGTGGAACACTACAAATGTAGGGATACGCCACGTGCCAACTGGTGCAGAATTTTTTGTCCATCCACAGGAGTTCCGGAGGAGTGATAGATTTCCTTTAATATGGGTATGGGTCCAAATAAAACCACCAGGAGACCGCAGGCTTTAGTCTTTGGTTCCATTTGCCAGGGCTCCGTTTTGGGTACGCATTTCTGACCCAGGGAACATAGAACAGATTGGGTAGCGATAGATGGACCAGCTCCTTTACCCTCTACGTCCAATACTCGTATGATGTCGATCCTTGTTAAACAAGGATATACTTTCCCTGGATTTCACCAGGTCCAATGCCCAAAATCAAAGGCCTGGTATTTGGAGTAGGCTTTGACACCAAGAAACCGTGACACGCTCAAAAAAGTTAAGCGACCCCTTTTGGGTTGGCTCTTTCGATGGAAAACCGCTTTTGGTTATTTCGATGGAAAGCCGATACACTTCTCTCCCAACGTTCGAGGGCATTCCTGGAATTTCCCCCCCGCATTCTCATTCCAAGGCCGACTCCTTCGGCTCACCTCCTCTTCACTGTTCTTGGCATGTTTTTGCTTTTTTAGTTTTTTGGTTTTGTTCATTTTTACTGGGGAGTCTGCTTAAGAAACAGTCAGTTTTTTGCCAGCCCATACCAAGAGTAGAGATGTCCTGGAACAGTTTTTGCCACTCGCATGGCCTTCCCCAAAAAAGAAAAATTACTCAGAAACCCTTCTTGGTAATTATGGTTTCCGGAAACCTGGCAGTCGAAAAAATAAAGGCCGGCTCCTGAAAATTGACGCCCCTTCTTCCCAAGCCTTAGTTTGACAGCGAAAACTGGCTGTTGTTGGCAGCCCCCTCTAAACATGAACAGAACCAAGCAACAAAACAGCCCAGACAACCTGCAAAGAATAGTGAAGCCTTTGCTAAACCTACGAGAACAACTAAGAAGCCCTGCAATAAAGTCTTGGATACAGTAAGGAAAACAACCAATTAAGAACACCTGCAAAGAATGGAACAACGAAGAACACCTGCCAAGAGCCCTGTCGTGCTCACGCCATCGCTCGAGCCCCCAGCTTCTTCCGCGGCAGCTGCTGCTTTTTCAGCCTCCTGTGGATCAATGGTGCGCAAAAATGCGCTGATTGCGCGGCCTGGAATCCAGGACCTCACTTCCGGAGTTGATTGGCCAACAAATCGTGCTAACTTCTTGCTTCCGCCATTCGCATGGCCTGTCGAATGTTGACCCAGGATCAATAAACCCGTCCCATTATTTGGGGGCTGTTCCCTCCAAAAGTGGCCTGAATCCCCACTAAAAGGGGACACCCACCCAATCAAAATCAACCAGGGGTTTAAAAATCTGGGGTGCACATTAGAAAGTAGAAACGCCAGGAAGTCAGGAAGTGAGGAAACCAAAAGTAAGGAATCCATCTTGTCGAAGGTCGGCTTTTGCCTGATTTTGCCCACATCTTTGGATGTCTTGGTTAACCCACGTGGGCTTAGGTACGCACCCCCTGCTCCAGCTACCTTTGTTTTGTATGTTTTTTTTTTTGAAAACCTGGCGGTGCAGGTAAAATATATCTTTTCTTTTGGAAGGGTCGACATCATGCGCTACAAAACACAGGTATTGGGGGTAGGGGGTAAGGCACGGTCAAACGTTGTTGTTTCCCCAAAAAAGGACATGGCACAATCAATGCGAACCTCCTGGTTGATCACTTTTGGAGGGGAACACCCCTAAAACATAAGACGGGTTCATGGAATCCTGGGGTGCACCTTAGTCCTGGTCTTTTGTGGACACTTCAGTGTCCCCGCTGTGCCCTCGCAAATGAATCGACCACTGGCAATTTGAGAGAGCCTCAATATGACGACGGTCATTGAGTTGAGTTTCGGAGAGTTGGCGAATTACGAAAGCCGTGCGCTAAGGGAATGTAAATAACGAAAACAACGAGTACCAGATAACTAGTGTACACAGAAGTCAGATAATGACACCTGACTCTTCCCATTGTACCCAAAAGTCTGGTCTGTGTCAGCCAGACAGCCCGTGGATACCTGGAGCCTCCATGACCAACCCAAACCGAAGCTCCATTTTGAGAAGCTCCCAGGACCCGGTCGCCTGCACTGAGGCTGTGCGCGAGCGGGGCAACCTGAGCAAGAAGAAGCCACAAGGGGCCTTCCTGAGGCTGGATTCCCATCTTACACCCGACTCCAAACACCTGGAAGTCTTTGTTGGTGCCTGGAGTCTTCTTCTGACCCTTACAAAATGGTTGGTCATCACCCAAAATGAAGGTTGGTCAGTGAGCAATTTTTTAAGGGTCAGAAGGAGGCTCCAGGTAGCTCTTTGAGAACCTGGTTTTCCAGGGCAAAAGGGTCAACATCAAACCCTTCAAAGAATAGGGGGCACACGCAACACTACGCTCCTTTTCAGGGTATGATGCCAACCCTCCCAAAAAAAATATGTACCCCGAATAAAGCAGTTTCGAACAAATACCCCAAACAACAGGTATTTGGAGTAGAGGGGCTGCTTCTGTCCCTGTCCAAGTAGCCCGTATTTGCAGCTTTTTGAGTTTTGCTCAAGGAGATTCGTCAACAGATTCTCCGCAAATTCGAGGAATCAAACGACCCTTTGGGCCTTTGGGGGGGAAAAGGGAGATTGTGTTTTGCTGGTTGCCCGTCCTGGGTTAACTTTCCCAAGAAGAAAGAAGAAAACATATTGCGCCACGGTGAAAACTCTTGGTCATGAAGTGTTGATTCTCTAAGTAGGATGGTCTACACATCCTGCGTCCACGTCCAGGTCCCTCCCCTTTGCGCCAACTCGGCCTTGGCCTTGAGTCGCCAAACAAAGTTTGCTCGCCCCGGGAAACATGAGCTCCAGATACCCGGCCCGTTTTTAGCAGTTTTCTTTGGACAGCCTGGGTGACAACAATATCGACCTCCCCTTTTAGCATGTCGACATCATACCCACAGTGGGTGCAGTTGGAACATGTTTCCCTTGGCGATGTAAAAGGAACACCACTTACACAGATGGTTGTCCTCTGATCAGGATTCAATGAGTCTAAGAGATGGTCAAACCACAAGGGTGAATGGACCCTCACACTTCCCTACCCCAATTTTGTGATTTCCCTTTGTCAAGGGTGGTTTGAGGGTCCGGGTAGACATTTGGTCATGGAACTTACATCAACATCTGTGATACCAAAGTGGTTGGTGATTCCGATGACGTCAGGATGGTCATTCGGTCATCGACTAAAGTTGCGAACACCTTGAGGTGCTTGCACTTTGTCATGGCGTTGTCAATAAGTCCGCCAACATACATTCTCAGCCCTCTGAAGTTCTGCGTGTCCTACAAACAAAGCACGAACACAGCAATAGCGATGAAACGCCTTGGCCGTCTCCAGATTCTCCTTGTAGTTCCGGACGTCCATTGCACCAACTTGTCTATGGACGATGTCAACTCGCTTAGAATTTCTATCACTTTGCTGTGCCTGGATCGCCAGTTGCTGTTTTTTCCCCCATCCCATGCACTTTACCCCAAAAACCTGGCTGAAAAAAGCAGCAACTTGGCTATCAAGGTATGCATAATTTGCACAGAATGGTCCCAAACCCCCGATGCTCTGAGCTTTCTTGACTTCAAAGCACCCAATCTTTTCAGCCTTTGCCCCGCAAAGAGGGATACAAAGTCAAAGGCAGGAAAAAAAACGGGGGTCCAGGTTGTTTTGGTGAGCACTCATACACAGCCAGAACTTCTTGGAATCGATCGGGCAACTGGCCCTCCGACCCCTGCCTATGTTTTTTGCTGGGGAACACATGGCTTCCCACGAACCCAGACCCTGGCACAAGGTCCACGGAACCTCCGGGAACCGTAGGTGGCCTGTTGGAAAAATGGAACGGAATAAACCCCATCTGAGCCGGGGCCCTCCATGTTTTAAGCAAACCAACCAAAAAGGACACCTATGCCTGGAAACCTTCTGGAACCCTCCTTGACATCTGCCCCAAAGAGCTTATCCAGGCAAAGATCCCATAACTTTCAGCTAGTGGGGAAAGAGCCAGTTGGTGCGGAGGGAAATTGCCACTAAGGAAGGGTGTCAAAAAGTGACCACACAGAATGGATCAGATCAAAACGTCGACTCGCTGGCATTTGTGCAAGGCCCCTGAAACAAATGAGACAATACTTGAAGTACTGATATAGCTTCCATTTTAAGTCTTCTGCGGAAAAAACAAACACATATGGGTGTGTCTTTCTGTGAGGGTAGCCATTTGTTGGTTTCCTTTTAAAGGAAATCAACCGAAAAACCGTGGGGGGAGCAGGAAACAAAAACACATCTTCACCGGAGGTCAACATGACATCAGATTCAGAAAGGAAAAACACAACCCCGAGCTCAATCGCGTATTTGAAATCAACGACGAGCTCGATCGGCATGGAGGCACGAACCCCTGCGTTGTAGGCGGAGCTTTCGACGGGGTGAATAGAGAAGTGGCTCTGTGCACGCCCGCTCTCGGTTGCTCCAACTCCGCCCGGAATGACTCCCGTGCTCACGATGTTGTCAGCCGCGGCCTTGCTGGTTCGATGATACAGCTTGCCGGGAGCATCAGCAGGCTGGAATTAGGACCCCAGCCAAAAAAAATAATATATATATATACATGTATATATTTTGTGTATATCCTTTTTGCCTGGTCGGTGGAAAACACAGGGACCCCAAAAAGCCAAAAAAACAAAACAAAAAGGGGAGCGAATTCTGGGGAAGACTCTGGACTCCGCTTTGGGGGGCGCTTCGGACGAAAAGCTCCCGGGCCCTGTGAGGAAGATGCCATCGATGCCCTGAGTCGAGTCGTCCGAGCTTGAGACGCACGGCGCGAGTGTGACTCACCTGGGTCCGTCTGAGGCTTATTTTCTATTATTTGCCCTCAAAAACCAGTTTGAAAACTCTGTGCTTTTGTTTGTTCTATGAGACCCTCAAAAAACTGGTCGTCTCCGGATTTTGCGTTAAATGTCCATGATTCGAAAGATCCAGGCAGGGTTTTGACTGTGACCTCATGTGGGCCCATGGCTACGAATTGGGGTAATTGGGATTGGTCTCCTTATAACCATGGCTGTAACCGAGTTACTTACGTGTTGAACAACCAAGTGAGTCACGTCCTCAAAACCGATTCGGGTAATTGGAGGGTAGAAAGGGACAATCAAAGCCATAAATGGGTGCGGAATTCTGCCTTTTCATTGTTTTTTGCATGATGGCTTAAGTGATGGCTGTTTGGGGCACTTGTTTGGTCTACGTGCAAGGGAAACCCACCCAGAACACCCCCTCCCTCCAAAGGTTCAGCAAGGGGTTAAGCCTAAAGGCCTATCTGAGGTTAATTCCCCATTAACTTCACTCTTTGTGTAGAACCCACATTTATGTTGCCAGAACTTTGGCCTTTTTTTGCAGAGAAGCATCCCACACTCGGGCCGAACGGATACTTTGCGCCCAGAAAACGAGAAAGGCGAGCCCGTAAACCAAAAGGCAGCCAAACCAAACCCAATTGGGTGGCTCCCTGAAATTTAGTGGCTTTCCTTTTGGTGTCCCTTTCAAAATCTACCAAAAAGGGATGTCCTCAAAAAGACCCCATAAAACCAAAAGGCAGCGCAAGGTGTGTCATGCTGACCCCTTATCCCTCCGCCCCCGTTTATATATCAGGAGGGTCTTGTAGAAGGCAAGAAAGGATTCCCCTTTAAAAAGATGATTAGAGTTAGGCAACCAGTTATAGAATGTATAGTTTATTGTTTGCTTCACTTTGAGTTACTGGTAAAATGTAAAATGTATCCTAAGTCTACCCCAGAAAAGAGGGACCCGACTTCATGAGAAGTGGGTCAGACAAAAAGCTTCATCCCAAGCCCTCGAGCGGTTTCCTGTGTTACCTGGAAACTTGTTCTGGCCCGTTGAGAACCCACAGAAACAACAAGCTACACTTTGGACCAGTGAATCGAAGGAGACCGGCCCTAGATGCAGCCTCAAAAGAAAGACACTCAAACACACACCATTCAGGAAGGTAGAGAAACTGGGTGCACTCACAAAAAGCAAAGTGGGTTTGCATTTCTCAAGGCACCCTTCTAGAGGTTGGTCAAACAAAAAAGCCAAGAGGCGAACCCCGAAACTACACGTCTTCTTTTTGGGGGGGGGGTCCCTATTTCCTGTTGTTTGACGTGCACGCCTTAAAGGAACCCCGCCCGCGTTTGTCGTTGGTTGGGGGGGGGCCATGTCTCGAGTCACACGCCAACCGTTTTCCGTCCGGCGTCCGGAGCCCGAAAAATGGCCTCGTCCCGCGGCTTTCTGGATAAGACCAGCCTCGGATGGGATCAGCTCAACCGTCCGATGGAGGGCTGTGGTATGTTACGGGGGGCTGGGTAGGTGACGAGGTTCAAGGAAATTGGTAGTGGGGATAAATTTGTGCAAGTGGCAAAAATTGGTATAAGTGGATAATTGGTAAACGCGGCATACACTGGTCTAAGTGGTATAAATGGTATAAGCGGATATTCTTGCTGGTGCACCAAGGTAACCGAATGAGACATGGAAAATTCACCTGTGGATCCCCGACTCAAGGAAGCCACCTGGACGGTTTTTCTCGGGGTCATTCCATGCAACTCATTCCCCGCCTATGAAACCAGCAAGCTTCAACAAGACGGACACCCCAACATACCACCAATAAAGGTCCTCCAAATCAGCTGGGAAATGAAACCAGCAAGGTTAAACAGGTGTTTGTGTCAAGGCGCCAAAAAAATCAACGCAGTCAGCGCCAAAAAGAAATCCCGAACCCCGAGGCAGGGATTCTTCAAAAGGGAGAAAAACATAGAAGCGAGGGCGTTGGGCAACTCAGAGGTCTGACGGCGGGCCTCGGGGTGTTCCTGCCCGACCCCCTTGATAAACACTCCTAAGATTCACATGAGTCATACTCAGGTCAGGACCCACAACCACGCAAAGAATCAGAAAAAAGCGGATATCAGCACCGGTTTATGGTTGGGATTATTTGTTACGGACCTTTACCTACCCGAGTTTGATTGCGGCTCAAATGAAGATCGACTGCAGGCAAATGATGTTTGCAAGAGTTGTAAAAGAAAAATGGGAGAAGACCTCACAAAATGGTAGACCCCTTCTGGATGCTGTTGAAAAGATCACCAAATAAAATGAACACACATGTTTGGGGGGGTTTAATGCCCATGTGAAGAGACAAAAAGACGCATAATTACACACACACAAACGCAACCCGGTGTATCAATTTTGAGAGGGAACTACTTCCTCCACTTGAAAACAAGCCAATGCAACACAGGGGCACCCGAAACAAGAAGCGAATATATGGGCTAAACAAAGAGTGCGTAATCCCGCGAGGTGCAAGCGTCGTATTTCTTTCTTTTCAGGGTTCTCCTTTCGGGTTTGAAGCAGGAACCCAAAGGAAACCTACCATTTGTCTGCTTTGGGGTCTGGTTTGGGGGTCATCACTTCCTGAGTGGATTGGCGCAAACAAGTCCAAACTTCTTATTTGCCAAAAATAAGGGCTTCCTTAAAACAAAAAAAGAGGTTTCGTCCAGGAACTCAGGGGAAGCCTCTTTTGGTGTGGGGGAAAGGTGCGTCATGCTCAAAACAGACCGGTACTAACAAAGGTCAGGAATAGTTTTAGAACGGCGGATATCGATCGACACCATTTTTTTACGACTGAGATTGACCCTGACCTGCCCTTACCCCTTAAAACTCCAAGCCCTGGGGAAGTTAATCTTTTACAGACATATAGCCCATGTTGCCCAAAAAGTTGAAAAGTTGTGTTTTTTAAGAGGTAAGTTCCAGTTCCCCGAATCGGTTTTGAGGACGTGACTCAGCTTGGACCTTTGAAATTCTCCCTTGGACCAAAATCCGCAGGTGAGCCCGCGCCTGCGCCCTGCGGGTTTGCGCCGAAGCCGTTTTTGGGGCGAGTCGAAACCGAGGCTTCGGCTCTTCGGACACGCAGGTGAACTCGGTCTGGACCTGAGGCCAGAAAACGAGCAACTGGTGGGTCCTGGCTCGTCTTCTTCAATAAAGACACCCCCCAAAATGGGTTTATCATGTTTTTAGGGAACCCACAAACCGTGCGTTCTCCCTTTCAGCTCCCCTTTCAACACCCACCTCCCAACCGGCACAACCCCCCCCCGTCTCAGGGCTGAGCGGTTTCGTGGTGGCGCACAACCGATTGCCGGCTCGCCTGGCCAGTCGCGAGTCGCGAGTCGCGAGTCGCGAGTCGCACGAAACGGCGGGACTAAGGCGGTTGAGGCTCCGGGGTGGCCTTGGCCCCGGGGATCCATTTAGGGGATTGCATCATGATTACCTTTTTTTAAAGGGTTGGGTTACAGGAAAACATCTACAGGAAATTGCCCCAAAACACCCTAAATAGTATGCTTTCCTGTAGAATTTGCTGTAACACAACCCTTTGATTCTTGCTTAGATGGCCTGGGACGAATCGCAAAGTGGTTAGGGGATCCATTTAGGGATTTCCCTAGGTCCTCCAGGAATAAGGGTACCTTGTTTTCTGTAGTCTATTTTAGTAGGGGAACCCTCCCCCAAAAAAGGGTAAAAGGGCACTACTGGGGGACCTAGTTCCGCATTTTGCCTTGCCTTCTTACTTAGATGGATGGCGTGGCACCAATCGCCAAGTGGCTAGCTCTGCCCTAGTTGGAACCCATTTACCATGGTAAGTCAAGTCCCCTACCAGAATATTAACCATTTGTCTAGGGGTTGATTCCGGTTCAGTTCTATTCAACCCTCGTTCTTTTCAAACACCGGATCTGTTTCCCCTGTTTGATGGCTTCCTGAAAGGAAGGATCCCTGGGTTCAGAATGGGAATGGAAGGTAGCCCAAGAAATTTGGCGATTCGTTTTTGAGCATCCAAGTACGTGGCAGCCGAAACCGCTGGGTCTTCCTGAGCCCACCAAAGATTGTGACAATGAGCATAACTTACCCGGAAACGCGCAGCTGGACAGGACCAAAAGCCAAACAACCCACAGACTTCCTATCTTTGCCAGGGAGACTTGCGGGATATTATGTCATACCCCCTGCTTCAAATACCCGGCCCGTGTTGAAGGTGTTTTTTTTGGAAACCCGGTTTTCCAGGACAAATACCTCCTCTTCTAGTAAAGGGTCGACATCATGCCCTTGAAACACTTGTATTGGGTGTAGGGTCCCATGGTTTCATGGTCATTAAGCTACTTGCCGGGATAAAGTCTGACTTTGGTGGGTGGCTTCCCTTTAACCTGCCACTCAGGGGTGTGACTTTGATGGTAACATGATGGGGCCAGTAGGGGTGTCTAGGGAGAGCGAATGACCAACTGAAACATCCAACTGGCTTGCTTTGAGTCTCCATCTAATTGGGGATTTAAATTGGTTTCGAGGTCTTCCAGAAGATTCACATTTACCCTCAAGAACCAGAAGTTCAAATCCAAATGCAAACCAATCCAAACCACCAATTGAATTGGTTGCTGGTGACCCTTCTGCAACTAATTGCAACATTTTGTGGGTGCCATGGAAACTCCACTGTTTCAACCAAAAGGTTAAAGTCCCAAGATCCAGCCAAATAGCCATAAATCAAGGGGTACCTGATTGAGGGAATCCCCGGGTTTGCCAAAACGCCTCGAACGATTCCCTGACACCCACCAGTGCTGCTTCAATTCGACCAACATCGGCACGGTAGAGCTTTGGCCCTGAGGGGAGGCCACAAAAACGGCAACCTGGAGTCTCCATGACCCTTTAAAAATGGGTTAATGACCCCATTATTTTGGATAGTGACCAACCCATTTTTTAAGGGTTAGAAGGAGACTCACAGCTCCCCACTTCCCTCACCTCTCTACTGTGCAACAAGGTTCCACCCCGTGGCTCAGCCCCAAGAGGCCTAAAGTCCATGATCTCGAGCAAAAAGTTATGAAATCAAAAGTAAAAGGCATTAAAACGAACGGAGCCGAAGAACCAAGCAATAAATATGTTCTTTTGTTCCAAACACACACACACATACAAAATTCGCCTCGGCCCCAAAGGGGCCGAGGGCGCTCAGATCTCTTCTCCAAAAAGAATCTTCGCTTTTCCCCTCCGACCAAAATTGCCGGCCCACCCCCCCCACCCATGTCGGCTGGCCCAAAATCCTGTCCGGCGGGCCTTGAAATTTTCGGGGTTCGTCGGCGTCCAGCTCCATGGGTCTATGTTTGTCGAAAATGTGCGAAATCACTAAAAAAATGCTTTCTGCTGGCCATGCCTGTCAGCCCAGCCCACCCAGCCTCAGGCCCAAGCTTGTCTGAAACAGGCCTAGCCCAACCAGCAACCCGCCCAAGCACGGCCCAAGTCATCCAGCAAGCCCAGCCCAGCCTGCCCAGCCCAGGCCCCGGCGCATCTCAGAGCATGCCAGCCACTAGGCCGGCCGCCAGCTCCCAGCTTCAGGTTTGTCTAACGTGTCTGAGACTGGCCTCAGGCCAACGACCAGTCTCACGTGTCTGAGACTGGTCTCAAGCTACGCCAGCTACTATGCCTGTCTGACGTGCCCCAGCCCCTCAGTCCGGCTGCCCAAGCAGCTCAGCCCAGGCTGGCCAGGCCTTGACCTCCTGCTTGCGTCTGCCTCAGCCCAGCCTGCCCAGCCCAGGCCCCGGCGCATCTCAGGGGCCCCCAGCTCCCTGCCCACCAGCAGGCTCAGCCCAGCGTGCCAAGGTCAGGTTTGTCTAACGTGTCTGAGACTGGCCTCAGGCCAACGACCAGTCTCACGTGTCTGAGACTGGTCTCAAGCTACGCCAGCTACCAAGCCTGTCTGACGTGCCCCAGCCCCCCAGTCCGGCTGCCCAAGCAGCTCAGCCCAGGCTGACCAGGCCTTGACCTCCTGCTCGTGTCTGACCCTTCCCTCAAACTAGGCTGGGCCGAGGCGGGCGACGCGAAGCGTTTACAATAAACTAAAATGAAAATGCCAAGAACTTGTCTCGCATAGTGGTTTTGTATCCTTTTTTTGGGCTTGGCAGGCGGAGGACTGAAACACCTGGTGAACTATCTCCTTCCCCATCTGGTAGCTCCAAACTTGGATTCCCGTTGACCCCCCTGCAAAAAGTTGACCACTTTTTGGGGGGTTTAGTGGAAAACACAATTTTCTTTCAACCAAAAAGTTAAAGTCTAAAGATCCGTTGCCCACTAGCAGTCAAGCAAAAGGCTGAATATCCCCTCGCTCCCCTCTCTCTTCCCAGCGGAGAGTGTCAAAGCGCAAGCAGCCGAACTTGTTGCCTGCAACTCAAATGCTCCAGCCTCAACTCTTGGTAGCTCCAGAAGGCTCCCCCTGGGTTCCCTATCCTTCCATTTGCAAACAAAAAAAGCCCCCTGGAAACATATGCATATATATGTGCAGTGATAGATTCCCTTTTTAACAACAGGGACGAAGAACCAACATCTTCACACAAATCTTCTGAACGCAAATGGAACTTGCTAGTGCTCAGTGGGAAATGACCTTCCGAGTGTTGGGAATGAACCTTCCCTTAAAGGAAGCTACCAGTTGGATAGTTTACGTGGTTCATTCCCTTCTTCCCTGCTGGGAACCAGGAAGGGAAGTAACTGTCCATTTGCCTGGAAAAACGAAACATTCCAGTAGTGATAAATCCCCTTTCACTTATGGGGTTTCCCTTCTTCCCTGGGAACTGGGCAGACAGGTCTCGTCACCAGCGAGCGAGTGCCGGCAGCGGCCTCCACCCGCTTGAAGTTCGGCGCCACCATGGACACTGCCTGCGGCACCAGCGGCATTGGCGCGCAGCGAAGTGACTCCCCGAAGTAAAAAACATACGCCCGAGCCGCGTGCTTCCAGTGGCCAAAAGTGCAACAGATAGGGACAAAGGAGCCTTCCATTTGTTTAAGGTTCCTGGAACAAATGATAACATAGTTCCCGTAGTGATAGAATCAACCTTCAAAACAATGAAGGGGAATTAACCAATATTCCCCAGTGCTTCCAGGCGTTTTGCAAAGGTAGGTAACCGGTCGGTCTGAATCGCTACCTCTAGGTTTACATCATGGACAATGTCTCCTGATGTCCTACTATAGTGGCGAAACGCCTGGAAGCGCTGGGCTAAGCAGAAAGGACTCCATCTCTGTCGAGACCTGGACATTTAAAGACGTGTTGCGGAGCCAAACAGGTAAAAAGTCGACCCCCCAAAGGTCAGAGTTCGGACCCTCCATTGAAGGTGTCGAACCGGACCCTAATTGACTTTGGTGTTGGACCTCAGTTCAAGCGACTTTGTGAGGTGCCGAAAAGGGGGGGCCCGTAAGAGGAGTTTGCGAATAACAAGTCACGGCTTCTCGGGCTGCATGTGAATCTGCAGATGTGTTTCTTCCATTTTCCCAGGCATGTGCAAATTTTACAATATGTCCAAACCATCTCGAAATAAAGCATCTTTACCACAGTGAGCTCCTTTTGCCCCAGGTGAGCTCGCCATGAAATCGGGTAGAAGGCATAAGTTTGTTGGCTTGGTTGATGTTGGAAGGGGAGCAACAATTTATTTTTTAGCAGTTAAGTGGTTGGATTTCAACCACTAAACCACAACAAGCAAAATGTAAAATGTAAAAGCCAACAACAACCATGGCCAGGGATAGGAAGACTTCACCAAGCCGACCAACCGTCCCGAGGAAAGCAGCCTGCATTGCATTGCAACTGGCCATGGGCGAAAATGAAAATGGAAATCGGTTAGCCCCCAGTGAACATCCCAATCCAATTCAACCACTAAAATAGATTCTAAAATGGGTGGTGAATTCACCGAAAACCCTCAAAATGGTACCAACCACTAAAATTGGTTCTAAAATGGGTGGTGAATTCACCGAAAACCCCAAAAATGGTACCAACCACTAAAATTGGTTCTAAAATGGGTGGTCAATTCACCTACCCCAAAATGGTACCATTGGTTTCGACCCACAGCCAGCTGGCCCCATTATGTTCAAAGACACCTTCGCGATAGGTTTCCGCTACCTGGAGTCTCTTAACAGATGGTTGGTCATTACCCAACATACTTCGGGGTCACGACCCCATTCTTAAAGGGTCATGGAGACTCCAGGTAAAACCCAAGCAAGTCAAAAACTCATGACAGCCTCAAGCGGCAATAGGCACTCCGGCAAGGTCAACGTCTGACTTCCTGAGTGGATTGGCCAAAAGTCAGAACTTCCGGGAGCTTGCCTCAAGTGAGAAATTGGACATGCAGTGATTTGGGGACTCCTCCGCCACTTTTTCCCATGCCCAACAAGTCCCACTTGGATGTTCCAGTCGGGTAAGTCAATGATAATTCTGGTTGCAAGGAGACTACTTGGGTGTTCAACCAACTTAGGAAGTATAGGTTATATAACCATTGTTATAAGGAGATTAACCCAAAGTTACCCCACTTATATCCACGGCTTCAACCTACTTGCTGGCCAAACATCCCTACGACCCCCCAGCTCTAGGTCTACAGCTTCCCTCACCTCGCTAAGACCAGGGCTCCCTGAAGCCGAAAAAAATCGGCTTAGATGGCCGGCTCCAGAGTTTCAACAGGCAGCGGGGGGGGGGGGTACTTTGAATCCGACATTTAACCATGATGGGACCAACTTCTTCCATTGCTTTCGTCCACTGGAAAAAAAAAGCAAACTCCAGTAGTGAGAGATTCCCTTCAAGACCAGCAGGGGAAAATAGAAATGTTCTTAAGCACATGGAAAGACTATTTGTGCCTCTTTGGTCCCTTACATTACGCAGTTGCTTCAACAAAAACGTGCGAATTACTGCATATGCCCTCGTGTTCAAAGAGTAGTCCCCGTTATCAGGAATCCCTCCATTCCCCCATTTACGTTTTATATTGACATTTCCGTATCTACGTTTCTATTCTAGTTCAAGTGGATTTGTCAACAGATTCCGAAAAAAACTCCACAAGTTACCAATGAAACCCCTGTGGATTACCCTGGACATGGACAACTGATATGGTCACCGGAAAACTCCAATTTGCATTTGCGCCCTCTGGAAAAAAGTCAAAAAACCATATGTCAGCCGTAAAATCAACACGGGAAAATAAAAACACAATCATAGGTGTCCTTTTAGAGGACATAGATGGCCCTTGTAGATGATTAAACCACCAGGTAAACGAGGGCCATCTATTTTTCGAGCAAAACAACCAAACCGGACACCCATGAACACAATCCTAAGCAAATGGAATCCTAAGCAATCCACTATCCTTTCCAACAATGGAATCCACCGATCCTTACCAACAATCCTAAGCAAATGAAAAAAAAAATCCCAAGCAAATAACATTTCAGCAGTGACACCGATTCCCTTTACTAACAAGGGCAAAGAAAGACACAATCCTAAGCAAACAGAAAAAAAAAACATGGACATTTTACAGCGCCAGGCCGCCTCCCACCGGTCCCTTCCGCCGGCTTCGGCTTCGGCGCCTTCTCCTCGCCCACCCGCTGGGCAATCTGCACCAGGAAGAGCTCGTTGGCTTCGGCGCCTCGGGGGGGGCGAGGCTGAAAAAACATCACGAGGTCCTCCAGTAGAACCGGTCGGTATGGCTACCTCCAGGTTTTACATCCTGGCTTCTTCCTGGTCTACTGTTGCTAGGTCCTCCAGTAGTTTGAGGTTGGAATAAGGGTACCAACGTGTTTTTTTCCTTCTTTTTTTCTGTAGTCTATTTTAGGGGAACCCTCCCAACCAAAAAAGGGGTGAGAAAGGGCACTTAGCTCGGGGACCTAGCATCAGATCCCCGCCAGCAAAACGGCGTGGATGACGTCGAGGGGGGTGATTCCGCGTCCATTCTGCTCATACCATCGTTCTTTATTCAGGCTTTTGGGTGGTTTCTAGGAAGTTCTTTGCAATCGTTCTTTTTTAAAGACCAGATCTGTTTTGTGTTTTTCTCCGGGCATTTGGGTGGTTTCCTAGGAAGGATCACTGGGATTACCCTCCCCCAGAAGCTCGCAGGACCCCTTTGAAAGACTTGGTTCCATTTACAGAGGCCGGGAGCTTCCATGATAGTCTGACGGAGTGTACTAAACAAGGGCCAGAACCAAGAACAGGTGAAATCCACAAAACGCGAAAAAGACATCCTGGACGGGCTAACAAGAACAACCAAACTTGTTCCCCGGCTAAAAGCGATTTGGGGTCGACAGGCCCACATTTTGCGGCTCTGGGGTGGTTGGAGCAGATTTCAGGGTTCTGGGAGGGTTCCGGCGCTGTTGGGAATACCACTGGGCTTTTTGTTTACCACTACCTTGAAATGGAGCGAGCCTAGAAAAAGCCGACGGTTTCCTTTAAGGGAATCCATCCAAAACCAGTTCATTCCCAACACCCGGGCTCGAAAAAAATCCCTACCCACTAAGCACCAGCATGTAAAATGGCCTAGACCCAAGAAGTTAAAAGTCCAGGAACTCAGGAAGTTGGCATGTGCCTTGCGTGGCTACAGAGGACATCAGCTGGAGATCCTCTGAGTCATCATCGAGCCATGGTATCAAAATTGTTGACTCAGAAAGGCGGCTGCGCCCGTTTGTGGTTGGGACTATCTCTTACTAACCTTCATCTACGTGGGTTTTGAGCAAGTGGCTCATCTGCCTATATTGGCTTATTAGATTGGGGGAACCCTTAACAACCCGTTGGCTACAAGTCCCCGAGAAAACCAGGGTTATTAACCTTCGTCCTAGGCCATCTAAGTGGAAAACAATTAAAACAAAAACAAACAAACTGAACGACATCCGGTGGATTCGCTCCGCTTTAAGGTGCCTTTGCTTTTATATATACCCGGACTCGCTGGAAGGCTTTTGCTGGGCGCTCCGGTCTCAAGCCCTTGGTGAAGGCCTTGATGCTGGGCTCCTGGTCTCCCGAAGCTACGGCGCTGCTCGAGGCTCCCAACACAGCGGTGGGTGGCCGTGTTCCTCCATTTGCGTTTTCGTCCCCTGGAAAAAAAAAGTCCAGTAGTGATAGACTCCCTTTGAAATCAACAGGGGAAAATAAAACAAATTCTTAACCAAATGGAAGTGTTCTGCTTGAGGGTACCCTTTTCGTTGATTTTAACAGAAAATCAGAGGGAAATAGACAAGACAAGAAACTAGAGGTGATTTCCAAAGACGACGAAAGGGACACCACATTTTGGATGTGTTCTCCCAAAAAAGAAGAGAGGAGCCGTCCATCAGGTCGCTGAAAACAGAGCCATTGGACAGCCATTGGACGGCTTGGGAAGTTATGGTGATAGACGAAAGAACATCTTGACCCAATGTAGCCCGGTGGATGGTAGCCAGGGGATTGGCCATGGGAAAACCTGGAGCTAAGAAACCTCAAGCGATACCTGCTCTCTCCCCCCTGCAAAAAGGTTAAATTTTTGGGGGGGTATAGTGGAAAACCCAGCTGTCTTTCAACCAAAAAGATAAAGTCTAAAGATCCAACCCAGTAGCAGTCAAGTACTATTGGTGTAACTGGAAGTAGCGGGGAGGGCTTTGTCGAACTGACCAAGGGCGTGTTTTTCTTTGGAAAAGACCCAGGTATTGTCCCAGCCCCGGAAACTGCCTGGCTTGGTTGCCGGCTTGTTTGCCGGCTTGTTTTCCCCTTTCAACAAGTTGCTATCACTGTTTGTGGGTCCAATACGGAAAATTCAGCACAGTGCCAACCAAAAAGTGCGAGTAACCAAAGATCCCCTACTAAATAGCCATAAGGCAAAGAAGACCCAGGTGGTATCCCCAGCCCCGCCCGTGAGAGGAACCTACTCAGAAGCACGAGCTTATTTGGGGGCAGACCCCCAAGCTTGCAGCTTTGGGCAACAACGCAAACGAACCGGTCAAGAGGGCGACAAGCAGGGAGCAATGGTCACAAATGGAGACGGATCCGGCCCCCTACGAAAAGCGTTGACTGCGCTCTTTTCTAGGGGTTGATTCCGTTTCCATTCTTTTCAGCCATCGTTCTTTTCAAAATCCAGATCCATTTCCCCAGGGTTTTTGGTGGCTTTCTAGAAAGAAGAATCCCTGGAAAGAATGGGGAAGGTACCCCCAAGATCCTGGCAGGAACCCGAAAGGGGCTCCCAAGGGCAAAAAAGGAGACCTGAAGTCTGGCAAGAAGGCTGTTACTGCATGACCCAGCACTTCGTGAGAACATACAGGGGTCACTGAATTGCCCCTTCAAGTTGCAATTTACGGGCGGTTCCCTTTGAAACTGCCACTCCGAAAAAGGGAAATGGAGGAAACCCCGACATATCCGGGCAAAATACGATTCACAAGCTTGGCATAAGGAATCCAAGGGGCCTTCATCATGGGGTTGCCCTGTTTGCCTGCGAGCTCAACGGTCTATCAACCAGCATTAGAGGAAGGAACCTTTTGTTGGGAATCGGACCCCCTTTCTGGGCCCCTTTGTAAACAAAAAAGTGAAACAAAAGTACCTGGAGTCTCCATGACCCTTAAAAAATGGGGTCATTAGCCAAAATAATGGGGTCATTGACCCATTTTTAAAGGGTCATGGAGACTCCAGGAAGAGTAACTGGCGCCGGATCCGCGTGGCTTTTGTCCGCTTTTCAGCTGTTCACCGCTCGGGTGAGAAACTCTGGCCTTTGGCCAAGAGTCGGAGAAAGCACCGGCAAAGGGAAGTACACACCAAAGAAAGTCGTCCCAAACCAAGACCCAGTGGATCCTGGTTTCGCCCATATAGCAGGTAACCAGCTATTTTCCCTCTGATGTTTAAAGGGTGGTTCTCTTGGATACCTACTATACAGGTAAATGGGTATAGCAAGCACCTGTTCCTCTTTTTTGCAGCCCAGCAAACAGCAAAGCACATTGAGAAACACGCAACACACTTTGCTTGAGACTGCCCTTTTTCAAGGCTACAGGGACGTCGCAAGAAAGCATGCTCAGCTTCCCTCCAATTGGTGGTTTGGATTGGTTGTTTGGAGGTTAGGTGACGGTTTTCCCATTTACCCTCTGCACAATCGAGGGGTTCACATCCCCAAACCACCAATCCAAAGCACAGCTAAGGGTTACCTGACATGTGTACGTTGGGACCCCTATTTGTGCTCACATCATGTCGTCTCCGGATTAATTGATAGGGGGTGTTCCTTCCATAGTGATCTGAATCCCCCAGAAAAGGAAAAGGGGGCACCCGATCAAAATCAACCAGAATTTCAACTTAGATCCGGGCTTACTATTGCGCATCAGCTGAAAGTCCACACAATTTCTCCCTGCCACAGGACATCCACTCACAGTCAGCCCTCCCGACCTGTGAATGAGTTCCTATCCTCCGTGGTTGGCGAAATAATCTTAAGACCTGATCTCGCCCACACAGGCCGCAAATCCAGGAATTTGCAAAAACACAAAAAATACTCAAAAAAAACCAATCCGAAAAACTCAATCTGAAATAGTCTGAATCTGGGAAGACTCAAAAGAAACTCAAAAAAAAACTCAAAACAGACTCAAAAAAAACTCAAGCAGGGGTCTGGGGAGGGTTCTGGGGGGGAGGGGCAAAATGCAAAAACAACCGCAGAAAACACAAAAAATACTCAAACAAACTCAAAAAAACTCAAAACAGACTCAAAAAAACTCAAGCAGGGGTCTGGGGAGGGTTCTGGGGGTGGGGGAGGGGCAAAATGCAAAAACAACCGCAGAAAACACAAAAAAAACACAAAAAAAACTAAAACAAAAACTCAAAAAAAACTCAAAAAAAAACTCAAAACAGACTCAAAAAAAACTCAAGCAGGGGTCTGGGGAGGGTTCTGGGGGTGGGGGAGGGGCAAAATGCAAAAACAACCGCAGAAAACACAAAAAAACTCAAAACTAAAAAAAACTCAAAAACAACTCAAGCAAAAAACTCAAGCAGGGGTCTGGGGAGGGTTCTGGGGGTGGGGGAGGGGCAAAATGCAAAAACAACCGCAGAAAACACAAAAAACTCAAAAAAAAACTCAAAACAGACTCAAAAAAAACTCAAGCAGGGGTCTGGGGAGGGTTCTGGGGGTGGGGGAGGGGCAAAATGCAAAAACAACCGCAGAAAACACAAAAAAAACTCAAAAAAAACTCAAAACAGACTCAAAAAAAACTCAAGCAGGGGTCTGGGGAGGGTTCTGGGGGTGGGGGAGGGGCAAAATGCAAAAACAACCGCAGAAAACACAAAAAAAAACTCAAAAAAAACTCAAAAAAAACTCAAAACAGACTCAAAAAAAAACTCAAAAACAACTCAAATCTCCTGCTGTGTTTTTTGTTGTGTTTAGTTTGAGTCTCCTGCTGTGTTTTTCTTGTGTTTTTTTTGAGTCTCCTGCTGTGTATTTTTGTGTTTTTTTTGAGTCTGTGTTTTCAGTTGAGTTTTTTGGCTGAGTTGTTTCTGAGTTTTTTTTGAGTTTTTTTTTGTTCCGCTAAAACCTCTCCTGTCTGAGCCCGTCTGGTCATAAAAATAATCCTTGTGATACCAGCCTGGAACATCCTTCGAACTGCCTCCCACTCCAAAAGCCCTGTTTTGTTTAGGCTAACTGTTGGAAAACCTTGCCTTCCAGGCTACATACCGCCTTTCTTAGTACAGGGTCAAAATCATACCCTGAAAAACGGGTATTGGGTGTATTGGGTCGTCACGTTCAACGACTCGCTTTTTCCTTTTTGGTGTGGAAACTGATCCTTACACCTCATTTTCTACAACCCCACCATCTCCAACTGTCAGCATCCATCCTTCGTGCACAAGTATTCCACCTGAAACCAGTGATCCCCAGTAAATGACCCTGTGAACTCTGGTTTTAACTCCGGGTAAGCTCGTCAAAACACACACTGCTGATTCTTCTTTGCCGGTGCACGAGCAGCCCGTACCTCCTCTTCAACTCCGATCAGAATGCTGGGTAGCCCAAGTACCTCATATTTGCGGAGGAGGGGGATCTGTTGGCGCAAACCCCTGAACCAAGTCCAAAATCGTAGGTATTGGAACTTGGACAGTCCAAGAAACGGACGGTACGGGCTGAGCGGCAATGACCATCCACTCTCAACAGTGGGTCGACAACATTAAGTCATGGTCCAGCCAGACATGGTCCACTCGATGCAATGTCTCAAACCTACTGTGGATGGTTGCGAAATCCATAAAACGCACCACTGTTCAGAATCCCTGGTTTCTGGTGGTGATTCCCCTGTAAATACCAACCAACAATAGTTTCAACCATGCTTCAAAGTGGTGCGAAATGGATTTCATACATCCATACAGTAGGTGCTTCCAGATACCATAGCAGGTAACCAGGGTTTCTTAGCCGTAGGTTGTACATGATGGCTTTTTGTTCTGGTTGCCTACTATAGTGGTAACTGGAAGGACTGGGAAAGACGAGGATTCTTGGCCCACATCTCGGGCACAGAGAGAATCGCCCCTTGTCTGGGCCAGACTTGCTCGAGGAATAAAATCATTCAAGCCCTCTCTGCACGCAGACCAGAAGCGCCCAGTGCAGATCATCAAGGGGAAGAAAAACGATAACAACCACATTTCCGGCTTGGTGCATTACAGCGCTTTGGCCTGCAAAAAGTCGGGTGGTTGTCCACAACCAAACCGGTCAACTCAGTTCACTTTCTTCGACGACGGGTCGTTGGGCAATGCTTCAGCGGCATCTCCTGGCACAAACGAAACGAAAAACGGCCAGCCGGCCCCGCCCTTCCTGTCGGCCCTGCGTCCCCCAACTTTCTTTGGGATGATAATCTAGCTTGTGGAACATGCGCCCTTTTTGAAAATACGCATTTGGAGTCCCATCGAACCATGACTATCCCCTGCTCCAAATACCCGGCCTTTGTTTAGGGTATGATGTCAACCTGGAAACCAGGGTTTCCCAAAGCATACGCAAAACACCTCTAACAAAAACACACACACACACACACACACACACACACACACACACACACACACACACACACACACACACACACACACACACACACACACACACACACACACACACACACACACACACACACACACACACACACACACACACACACACACACACACACACACACACACACACACACACACACACACACACACACACACACACACACACACACACACACACACACACACACACACACACACACACACACACACACACACACACACACACACACACACACACACACACACACACACACACACACACACACACACACACACACACACACACACACACACACACACACACACACACACACACACACACACACACACACACACACACACACACACACACACACACACACACACACACACACACACACACACACACACACACACACACACACACACACACACACACACACACACACACACACACCACACACCACACACACGCACGCACGCACGCACGCACGCACGCACGCACGCACGCACGCACGCACGCACGCACGCACGCACGCACGCACGCACGCACGCACGCACCCACACACACACACACACACACATCGGTCCCGATTTGCGAAAAAGCGGACCCTCGGGCCCTCGGATTCTCCATCAGCCCCGACAAAAGGACCCGAACTGTGGGCAAGACAGCCATGCCTTTTCAACCATGTCTTTTCAAAAACCCGATCCATGGTCCCTGTTTCTCTTTTTTTTCTCGGAGGTTTTCACGAAAGAAGGATCCCTGGAAAGAATGGGGAAGGTAGCCCTGGAACTAACCCTGCCGCTCTGCGCAGGACCCCTTGTCTGTGCCTTTCACCCACAAAAAAAGGGTCACACACACACACACAAAAGGGGTAGTTCTCACGACTTCCTGGCACGATCAGCATCCCGCCATTTCGGAATCCTTTGAGAAGATATTCGGTGTCCCAAAATAAGGGGGGAACCGCCAGAATTCGTGGTTGTTCGTTTTTGTTTCCCCAGTGCTTCCAGGCCAGCCACTGCAGTGACCGGGGGAAACCATGCAAAAACCTAGAGCTAAGAAGCCCTGTTGACCAAATTCAAAGGGTCCTGATTCTTTTAAGAACCCCAGATTGCGCTTATGGACTTACTTTCTCAATTACAGAGTCCTCAAATCCGCAAATATGAGGTACCCGGACTCTTTAGGTACTATAGTGGTGACTGGAAGCACTGGGTTTGAGCCTCACAAAAGACCCATCAAACCGGACACTCATCCATGACTCCACTTCCCTGGAAGAATCCGTGAGCCAAGTTTAGTTCTTAAGTTCCTGAATTTGAACTGAAATGCTATCTACTCCAAATACCCTCTATTTAGTGTATTTGTTTTGGGAAGGCCTCGTTTAACAGGGCCAATCACTCCTTTTCTGGTAAACAGGTCAACATCAAACCAACAAAAAGCGGGTATTGGGTGTAGGGGGCGCAGCTTAACACAAATGGAGAGTTTTCCAAAATGAGCTTCCTCTACCAATGCTGGCTTTTTGGGTTCCAGGTGAATCTGTTCAAATGTTCCGCAAACGATTGTTTTTACCCCCAGCCGACAGGCACAACAAACTCCTAAGGGGACGACTTTGTCAAACCCAAGCTCGTAAAGAGTGTCGCTGCTCAGTAAAATGGTACCGGTCAAACAAGTTGATTATGTTTGGTGTTCATCTGGGGCCCAGCAAAAGCCCAGAAAGTCGCGAGTTCTTTTCACATGGTCTCCAAAGCTCACCCTCAGGGCACTGGATGTGGTTCTCATTGGGAATGTCCAAACTCGCACGTCAACATATGTACCCTCTACACTCAATATCCGCTTCTTTTTGGGTATCAGGTCAACCCTGTGCTAAACAGAGAGGTATTTACCGGAAAACCAATCTTTTTAAAAGGATGCGCTAAGCAAAGTATTTGGAGTAGGGGGGTTCCCTGAAGTCTCCTTCTGACCCTGGCATGGTGTCTCATGACCCCCGATGCTCTAAGCTCAAGGGGGAGGGGTCAGGCCCAAGTCCATTGTCTAGTCCCAAAGGGAAAACACACGAAACATGGAGATCTCCAGGGTCACTCCCTCAATTCCCATTTTTGAGGGGGGATGCTCTGACTCCCGAGCTGGAACATATTGGGAACGCCTCTTTTCAGCGGGACCTTCATGGGCGCGCTCGATGATGACATCCATGTCCCCTTAGCTGCTTGAACTTGGCAGATAATACACTGTACGCCTGGACTCACTCCAACTAAACTGGGATCTCTTTGAGAAAAATGAGGCACCCCGTGTTGGGTCGTTGAGCTTGGGATTTGGATACTCAGAAGTTACAAGACAAAACAACTCACTGAAGGCATAGGTGTCCCTTTAGGGGAAATATATTTTTCTACCAAAACAACCAGAAAGGACAGGCGTGTCTGAGAACGGATTTCTCTTGACCCAACCTCGTCCCACACAAATCGGGCCAACCTCCACACCCGAAGTTGCGTCAAACTGTTCCTCAGAATTCCCCGAACCCAAAACACGCATATACACACATACGCACCTAAAGATGGTTGGTCATTCGCCAAAATAATGGGGTCACTGACTCATTGTTCAAGGGTCCGGAGACTCCAGGCATGCACCCACCAAAGAAAAACCAACTCCACTTTTGGTGGATATGGTTCGCGGCGACAGCTGAACAGTGAAAGATCATCGAACATCTTGTTGCGCTGATTGTGGCTTCAACTTCCGGTGGCACTTCTCGGCGAAGTGTGAAAGCCAGGGGGTGCCTTCCCATCTACCAAATCCCCAAAGCCCACGCTTGCAACTCAACACTTGGCCTGAAACAAGCCCGGCGGCATTCGGGACTAATGCGGACCGTCCTTCCGGCCGTGGGCCCCAAAATCAGGGGCCCGAAAAAAAGAAAAGGAAAAAACAAATAGGACAAAAAAAAAACGAAAAAAAAAGAATCCTTGAACCCAAAACTGGTGGTTCTCCTTTTGGTCTCTCTCATAAACCTTTAACCCAACTCACAGGGCTACCTTCTTCGCCTTCGAGCAAAATCTGGGCACCCGTTTCCTGGTTGCCGTCAACACCTGTGCCCCACAAAAAGCGATTTTTTTGTGGGTCCAATAGGAAAACCCACAAAGTTTCAGGCAAACAAGTTCAATCAACCATTTTTTCGCTCCCAAACTGCCCTAAAGTGGTTGCCCCAAACCAACGCAACGTGACTTTCGAAAAACCGAAGAACCGTCCAGGCCGATCGCGACCGAAGAACGGAAGAACGGAAGAACGGAAGAACCGAAGAACCGAAGAACCCGTCCTTCGCCAGCCCAAAGGTTGGGCTCCCACTGATCCTTCGGCCCGTCCCCTCTGAGACTTCGCAGCTCCCGGCGGAGCCTCCTAAGCTCCACCTGAGACTTTTCGAATCGAGCGAGTGGAAATATAGGGTCAAGCGACGTCAGGGAAGTGATTCCGGTTCTTCCGGTTCTTCCGGTTCTTCCGGTCTTTTCAACCATCCATTCTCTAAAAAGAAGGATTCCTGGAAAGAATGGGGAAGGTACCATTAGACCTTTGGACCCTTTTGTTGAGGGCCTTGACCCCTCAGACGACAAACACATATTGAGGTCTTGGGCGCCTAGGGGTAGGTTACAATCATGTTATAAGGGAACGATGACCCCCGGACCAACCACTTACCATGGCTATAACCTATCTACCTGACGTTGGTTGAACATCCAAAATGAGCCGATGGTTAAACAACCAGACCCCTTTAATGTATGAAAAACACAACCTGTAAACCAATTTGCTTTGAAGGGATTCGATACGATTAGACTTCTTTACAGGGAAACGATACGTAAACATTGATGAGGGGTTGGCAAAACTAGTGGCCCTTTTTTTAACACTGATCCCCTTCACGAGAGATCGATCGGTTTCGCAAGCGGTTGGCATAGTAATCACTCACAGGGACTAAAAGGGGTAAATCGGTTATAACCAGGCTAGGGCTACTAACCACTAGCCGATACCCCGTGCTTGGCTGAACCAACCAGACTCTAGACTCTAGGTTTCTTTGAAGGGAAAGGATCATCAGCCTCCATCTAGTTGGTGGATGTGGATTGGAGGTGTTCCGGTGTCGTTTCCCATCCCTCAACAAGAAGGGGTTCACATCCAAATGCAAATCACCAGTTCAAACCACCAAGTAGGAAATGCCCGAGATAAGAGGATAGCAGCGGGTTTGGCCCAAACCCGGTGCAATGGCCTAAATAGGTGTTCGGCCAGACGGATCCAACGCCGGACAACAGTTGTTTCTTAAAAAAGAAAATGAGGGAATCCCACAAAGGGTGTCCAAGGGCAAACTTAGGCAAACATCTGGCCATGGCTATAAGGTTGTGGGGTACGTCACATACCAGATTTACTCATGAAAGGAGTCAACTGTTGAGTACATATTCCACCTTCTATTCCCAAAGGGCCGGAATAGTACTAAGCAAAAGGCAGGAAAGGTGCTCTGGACAACATCCATTTCGCACCACCGGACTCAGAAACCCTGGTTTCTGATGATTCCCCTGCAAACACCAAACGTTGTGGTTCCACCCATGGTTTCATTTCGTGGTGCGAAATGGATTTTCTTCATCCACAGTAGCAATCAACTACGATTTTCTCCCTGCCAAAGCCATACCATTTGCTATGGAACGGTCATGAGGCTTGGTCCTGAATGGTCCTTTGCTGGTCTCTAATAATCATCCACCTGGAAGACACGCAAACTCACTTCCTGAGTGGAATGGCCAAAACAAATAACCTACATTTTTTTACCACCAGACATGGGCTTCCCCCAAAAACGACCAAAGTCCAGCAACTCAGGAAGTGAGCAAAGGATTCCAAGTGTTGCTTTCCGCTCCCCCGCTAAAAGCTTGACTTTTAGTGGTTTAATTCGGAAAACCCCTTAGTTGGCAAAAAGTTATTCAGTCCTAACATCCCTCGGCAAATGCACCAAACAAACTGGTTGGTATCAAACCAAAAAACGCAAGGACACCAAACATTTTAGGGAATCCTTCTCTTGAGAAGCCCTCAATTCGCTTCCCCCTTCTGCCTTCCTTCCTACCCAATTCGCTGTTCAGGGAAAGTCCTGGTCTCTGTTGGCGGTTCAAACCTGTGAGCCCTAGATCGAGGGCATCTCGGGCGGTACGGCCAAATATCTTTTTTTCGAGCGTGCCACGAGGCCCAAACGACCTTTTCAAGACGCAGGACATAATATGACGAAAGAATCAGTAGATATGCGTTGATCGAGATTGTTGTCCTTGGTTTAAGGCTTATTTACTCTTGTCAACTAGTAAGGGCGGATCTACTCATCTCATCTAACTATGGCTTAATTTCTTGTCCCATCCATTCACGGCTGACATACCAGTCTCATCTATCTAAGCCAGATTTGCTACTATTGATTGTGTCACGGCCGATTTACGCATCTCATAATTTAGGGATTGTTTATTCTGCTTTAATCCACATCTATTTGTGCCTGGTGTACTAACCTTGCTGCTTGTCTAAGGCAAACTTACTCATCTCGAAGATTTAGCGCTCGTCATTTGATTAAGGCGCACTTACTCATATCATTCAATTCACCTTTTGAGCAGCACACACCGAGACAAGCCCAAATGCACACAGGGAAAAACATTGATGGCGCAATTCCCGCTATGTCGCTAGGATTGGACACCATGATGCAATATCTTTTGTAAAGCACAATGCGCCCCCGACTTTCACTCAGGAGGATACGGCCCTTGCGTTGCTTCCGCGGTGTTTCGGCTGGGCTTTCTCCAATTTAAGCCGGTCAACACCTCCCATGTTCGGCCAACACAAAGTACAATGTCAAAATATAAATTCGGACCCCCGAAATGAGGGGTCGCCATTTGCTTCCTTTACAACCACCCCCCAAAATCCCCCAAATATGTACCCTGACAAAAACGAGCGAGCCGCACCCGCATAAGCTTTATCAAACGGGCCAGCCTTGGACACAGAAAGTCGGACCCGGCTGATACTGATATGGTAGCTGAAGATATGGATTCCCCAAGTGATCAACCCCAATATTGGGGAAAAGGTGGGTCCGACTTTCTGGTTAGCAACTGATTGACTCAACCTGCCCCGGTGCTCGTTCCCTGCCTCCATGAGATGTTGGAAGCGGCCTGTCTGTCTCATCAGAGACGCCTGCAGGGTAATTGACTAGCTCCTAGCTCAAGCTGGGTTGGCAAAGCCTTTCAACATGTTCCCCAAAAGCCTTTTTTGTCGGACTCCAAAACTTGCGGTTCTCCTTTTAGTTTCCTTTTGCCTCAAAAAGAGGTACCAACTCCGGAAAAAAGAACACCCCCACATCCAGTCAGCTTCATACGTTGGATCCTCCTGGATGCACATGTGCGACAGTCCACATTTTGGGACCTTTGTGATGCTATGCGTTGAATTTGCCAAATCGCAAAGGTCACGGTGAATGTTGAATTGCCAAACGCGGTAAACCACAAACTCTGCACAGGTGTTTGGTGGGAAAACCCGGGGTCAGGTTGTTAATTTGGATTTGGGTGGCCCTGCGCGCTTTGTATCGTGCCCAATCCTGACTTTGTAACCCAGATGCAGTCAGCCCTATAGTGGGTAACTACGGGAAAACATGTGGGTGCCTTTTTTGCGGATACTCTCCTTGTATTGTCGGTTTGAAGGGGAACCCAACGGACAACCACAAATTGGCGGGGGGGGGTCACCTAAAAATAAATGTCAACATAGAGATTCAAGACTTGGTTCCCTGCTCAATTCCTGAGTTTAGACTTCAACACTTTTTGCTCGCCACTCAAATGGTCCCAAACAAAATCCTGGGTGTGTCTTTTTTCGGGACCCCCCCCCGCTTTAAAAAGCAAGAGGCTCGGTTCTCCTCTTGGTTTCTGTTTAAAACCGACGGTGCTTAAATGTTTCATGTCTAAATGTCAACTTCAGATTACTCCGGAGGACCGCACTAACTGGCTGTCCATTTTCTGATCCCCTGCTAAAAGTGAATAACTTTGAGTAGGTCAAATCGAAACTACCACCAAACCAACCAAACAATTGACTAAACAGCCAAGTTGAACCGGACGACTCGCTTGGCAACCGAACCGAGCTAACTTGGGTGCTGTAGATCCCCCAGCAAAAAGTTTGACTTTTTGCAGGTTACAAGGAAATATGAGGGGCAACCTAAAAGTTAAAGTCTAAAGCAATAGCAGTAGAGCTAAGGGGAGTATCCAGTCCAAAACTCGGGGAAGACCTCGTGAACATCCCTCTTCGCCCGCCTGGTCTTGGATCACCTTGCCCACGTCCATGGCCCTTGCTTGGCCTCGGAACCTGCGCTTCATTCAGCCCGAAAGGAGAGTCCTGGGAATGGTTCACTTCCTACGTCCTCCAGATTTGAAGAGGGTAGAAGTTGGTACCCACCTTTTTTTCTGGAGGGGAGCCCTCCCCCAAAAAAGAGTAAAAGAGGTTCAGAGGCTCCAGCTCGATCTTTTCTAGGGCCTTCAAACAACCAGGTTTTGAGACCCCGAACCAGTTCCCGGGGTGTCTAATGGTTGGGTCTTCCATGAAAGCCGGAGCCAGGAGCCTCAAATGGCAAAAGAACATCCTGGGAATTTGGCCAACAAAAGAACAAGTCCTCACTTCTTGTCAAGGCCCCAACAAATGGGTATGGGTCAAAATTAAACCACCAGGGGAAAACAGGTTTAATGCGTCCACTTGCCAGGGTTCCATTTGGGGTACCGATTTTTGACCCACAGCCAAATGGTCTTCCGGCTTCGAAAAGTGACGCAAGGCGCGCTTTGTTTTTTGCATAACAGGACCGAAATCATACTTAACATTTAGAAGTACCTGCCAAGTAAAGTAAAGTTAACTCAATTTGCTGTTTGTTTGTTTGTTTGTCTGTCTGTCTGTCTGTCTTTCTGTCTGTCTGTCTGTTTGCTTGTTTGTTTGGTTTGTAAGTGGCTGGCAACCCTGCATGATCGCCTAACTCGCTGAAACATAGTTGCAACTAGCAACCCCCCAACCCGCTGGTTGCTTGATGTTTGCTTACTTTTTCTGTAAATAAAGGTTGAAGGAAGGGATGATGTTGAAGCTCCCAAGTACCTTGGCCTCAACTCAGCTGCGGAACTCAGATGAATACACCCGGCCAAAAAAAACACCGGTGTGCCTCTTCAAAAGTAATGAATCGCTACAAGGGGACACCCCCTATCAATCAACCAGGGGCGTATTCGTCCCTCACTTCCTGCGTGGACCGGCAAAACAAGTCCAAGCTTGTGGTAGGGGCCACTAGAATGCTCCAGCCCCCAAGTGACTAAAGTCCGAAACGGTCCTCAGGAAGTGAGAAAGTGAGATCCAGCAGGTATCCGGATGCATTATACACCTGAACATTGCCTTGTAAATGGTGGT